ATCATGGTAGCCTTCCACAGACAGAAGAACTATCTCGTGCCGGTCACATTTGATTATCGTTCTCTATCCAGCCCATTAAATACCTATCAAATACTATTTAGGGACCAATTTATCCAATAAAGTCCATTTATCCTACAGGTCCTAAAGCTCAGAGAGGACTGAGGAGTTGGATTACCGCTACTTACGTGGTTACCTGGCATGTTTTTAATCTGAGATTTTTGCAAGGATCGTCCTGATATAATAAGAGTAGGGCGTGTTTAATTATAAGGTTATCAATCATTGGAGTCGAGGGAAAAATAGCTCTTACAAATTAAAACAATTTTGATCGGGACGTGGATTTATAATGAAGGGCTTGGTCTTTGATTGATCATGATGACTCAGGTGAAAGGTCAGTCGATCAAAGAATGAAGTTAGATTATTTCGACAAAAGTGACATAATCGACATCATGATGTCAGAAGTCAGTCATTGATCATGATTCACTTATCTGTAGTTTAGACTTAGCGATCAGTATCCTGTTTTGATAATACTCAATACCTTTGGCGATATAGTCTATGATTCGTGGAGATTGACAGGTCGAAACATTTTGACGGAATTTTGCGTCAATTCAACGTCAAAGATAATTCATTAATACAGCCCAATCAACCACGTAGCCAGGATTTTCAGTTGTTAATGTTATGGAAGGGGGTGTGGGGGTTCAGGGTTGAGGTAGCCCCAGCCCGTCTAGTTGATCGTATATCAGTTACAACTGGCATCAAAGTATGCAGCTATCAGCGGACGATTAACAGATATGTGATATAATCGCTAGGTCGATTGGGCGGTAGAAAGAAGGATCGAAAGGATTGGAAAAGCGCCGTCTAAGATCAATACAAGCTGAGAATATTTCTGTAAGATGTGCAGATTTATTCAATTGATCTATCGATGTCACATATGGATTAAGGTAACTAATCATAGTATTTCTCGTTCTTTTCGGTTAACATCGAAAAAATGTCAAGGTTAAGCGGACTCGACACCATCATTCACCTATAACTGCGATCACTAGTCGAGATATAAATAGAATTTCCTTGAAATCGGCACTCGTGACTTGAAAAAGCTTAAAAACTAAATAAGCAAATAATTTAAACCATCATTCGCCCCCATAATATGATTATTGCGGTTAGTTCAAATTGGATGGGTTTGCTTACCACCAAACCCCTATCAGAAGCTGAGATACACAATTTAAATTAATCAATTTGTTACTGGACGACGCCAGCCTGTCACTCCACCATTTTAGATCGCGATCGGTGTTTTTAAAAACTTAAGCCTGAGGTTCCACTTCATAGATGAAGACAATATATAACTAATCTATTATACGTTAAAACCCATGTACAAAAATAATATAAAAAATGGTAACGGTGAGCATAAAATGGAGCTTGGGCAAAATTATTGAATATATAGTTTCATGTTGGGTATCGAATTTAAATCTTTATAATCATCGTTATATTAGCATTTACTCTTCAGAATGTATCGCGACCTCAAGATGCTGCTCCAGATAAAGTTTAGAAAAATATGCTCTCTAATAAGGAGTAAAATCGAACAATAAAGAATCATGAGTGGTGATCACTATTATACTTGGTATTATTACAATTAACAAGAAATCAATAAACACTGAGTGACACGACTTTTTAGAAATTAGGCTCTCATCTCGATGATGATCAAATCCTGAAACTGGATTACTGCCCAAGATCGTTTACGTAGTATCCTACTGGGTTCTGAGTTATGGAATTTTTCGCTATTTTACCGGTGACATTCATACCAATTATCCTTAAATTATACAGGATTAATCATTTTGAAGTCCTACTACACTCAGTCACTCACTACAGCTTGAACGATCGTAATGTCAGACTGCAAAAATAAATGAATTAATTACATGGAAAAATACCCAGGATTAAGTCCCAATTTCCGTTCTCCCGCTTATATTAGTCCACACCCAGCCATTACTCAACGAAAGGCACACTCGCATGAACATCATTAGGGGATGATCTTCGTCTTAACTCACAACTCATCCGACGCGTCGTTCTTGAGATGCCTTCCACTATTTCTCCCTTCGTTGGAAAAGGGTGATATAGTCATGGCAATAGTGGGCCTTGATACGAATCTTGGGTATATCTCAAATTTTCTTTCTCATTTTGTCTTCGATCCTTAGAGAAGGAGAAAGCTCACAAAATATGAAAATTTTCTCATTAATCCGGTAGGATTAAGGTAGAAACATTATGTGGAACAGTGGTGACATATTCGCACCAGGATGGCATTATGTTTATTAATTATTTACACCATGTCTTGTTGATGTTGTCTTCCTTCTTCCATGTCGTATTGATGCAAACTTCTCCTGAGATGTGCAGGAAAGTTTTAAATAGTTAAAACTTTCCTACCGAATCTTGGTCATGAAATCAAAATTAATTCAGTATAAGCAGATGGTTTTAAAACATTAAGTCGCCAAAGCCACAAAGTTGTTAAGCTTAAAGTTAAAATTTATATTAATTATAATATAATTTATATATTGTTTACAACATTACCACTACCAGCCCCCATGGCCACAAGAAGCACTATACCTAACCCCCTGATCCCTGAACCATCCCAATAACGAACACATTTAAATAATGTCTCGACTCTCGACAATTTTCCCTGTCTAACTTGGTAAAAATAGCTGTTTATATTAGGAAGCACTCTAGTAGATTGATAGCTCCACTATTTTACTTTAAATGTTTAATCTTATAAATAGCTCCTTATTGAACATTATGTGATAAGTGCGCTCCAAATGTTTGATGTGTTACACTTAAAGTTAATAAAGATTAAAGAAGCATTCAATGCCCCTTTAGTTTGCCCATTTGTACAAACAAATAATGTTTATGACTATGAGGTTCAGATTGAAGCACTGATTACTCGAAAATGGTTCCACCGGATGCTGCAATGCCAATTCGAAGGGATGGTGCACCGAATGCAGAATGGTGACATTGCTGTAATTTTCAAGGGCGATGGCAAAATTCGCTAAAATCATATGCATATCGCCATTCAGTGGTGGAATTACCGTATGTTCTTCAAAGTTAAACGTACTAAAGCATAATTATAATATGTCGGTTTTGAATGGGATGTTGAAAATTCGGTAGATAGGACGATTGAAAAATACCATATTCAATCGACCGATTATAAACGTTGAGACACATATACGTTTCAAGCGTCGTCACCAGAGGGCCAGAGCTACTACAAAAAATGTGAAAAAATGTTGGGAGCGTTGTCCGCCTCTTATCATCATCTTGGCAATAAGCAACGAGCATACATGGTCTGGGTCATCATTTATTTATGGAGTTTGTGATATCATGATTGGTGAGGCACAATTAACACAATTAACACAATTTTGAATTAAACCAAGGGAACATCGTCCAAGGAGAATAAACGCTGCAGAACCTCTCTGTGGCTACGCCCTCGCTTTGACCGGGAGCCAGGGTATGGTATGGTATAATGGTATATCATAGTGATTGGAGTATGGGTAAAACAAAATTACAACACAAACCAAACTACTGGTAGCCGGAAACTTTAATGCTGTTAAGTCATGACTGCCACACAATATTAATAAGTTTTTAAACAATTAAAGTTCTTCCGCTGAATTTTATTAATGTAAGCTGAATTTTGCATGAAAATTGGTTTTATTAATTTGAAAATTTGCTATGAAAATCGGAATTCGTGGTCAACGTTAAATTTTATAATTTAAGGAACAATGGATATTTTCATTAAAGTTAAGAATTTTATTTGATTACATTTGATTTGACCCAATATATATATTACAGTTACAATATGTTATTATGAGTCTGCAGGCTCTCTCACAAAAAATGTCTCTTGCTTATAGTTATAACTATTTAATTCTCTCGAATATGTGTCTTCCCACTCACGCGTCTGAAAGTGAAAGGTCGATTGAATACCAGAATAGTCGCGGTTGAATGAATTGTTGAGAAATACCATACTTGGTCAATAAAATCTACGATTTCTTCTGTATTAAGCGATAACTATTTAGTACGAAAAAGTTTACTTTTCAAGTAATTAAGCTCTATTGGACCACAACGTTTATTGACCAAATTTTATATTGTTCGATTGTCTTTTCAACCAACATTAAATCTAATCTTCAACCAACCGATGAAGACCCATATAATAGTAATACGTTATGAAATCGTGGACTATGCATATTAAGCCTACTTTAAGAAACTCACTTATAGTTATAGCTCAAAAGTCTATTGTGACCGACAACTTCACAAATTTTACACAATTCCCACGGAGTTAACAGGGCATCCAATCAGTACATTATCAGCCCAAATCTGAAATGGACAACTTGACGGTCACCCAGGTCATATTATACTTATAGCTGCAGCCAAAAATGACAACTTCATCCAAATTATTTTAGATCAAATTTTCAGGTTAGGTTGAAGGCTGGTCTTTCCTCAGATCTCGTGTCTTCTGATGCTTGAGGAGGGCCTGCCTCGGCTCAGATTTTTTTCTTTTCGATGCTTGAGGAGCAGTGGAGTCATCCTTTTTGGCACGCTTCGTGTGCGCACGTACCAATTTAATAGTAATATGCAAAGAAATTTATGTATCATGACCATTAACCATTCCATAAATTTACCTAGTCCACAATCCAAGTAAACATTTTGCCACGTTTTTTTATGGTCACACATTGACATAGCAAATTTCTAAATTAAACAATTCAATTTTAATTTGAATACAAAATTTCCGGTTTAAATTTATAACCCAGCATCCGTGTAATACAAAACAAATGGAAACCTAACAAAGTGAATTTCACAGTACCCAGAGTTCCGACCAATCTGTCCACAATAACCAACCCACCTAACAAAAGGTCTGAGCAGCAGTTCAATTAGCTCAGGAAATTCAGAGAGCAGGTGAACCATGCAATTCCTGCACCCCGAACCACTGAATCTTTGTCCTCTTTTAACGCTTCCTCTACTCCCTTTTATTTATTGTTCTCCGACTGTTTCCGTGCGTGGCATGTTAACTAGCAGACATTTTCTGGACTGATCTTATTCTTGTAGTTGTAAGCTTCTCTACTGAACTCCTTTACTGACCTGCTAATCTCAAACAACGAGATGAATTCGTTCTCTCTCTTCTTAGTATTGGCCGTAGGGTCTCTTGCTGTCATCCAAGGTATTATATTCATCAAAATTTTAATTTTCATCCATTAAATTTAAAGTTTTCACTTATTTAATTAGCCGTTAGCGTGTCCATATTTTTAAGGCTATTTCAATATTTTTCAACCCTTATGATAATCAAATTGGGGTATCAACTTTGATAATTGCCGATAACATTTTACAAAACCTAATGACCTTTTGTCTAATTCAGGTAAAAGTATTACTAGGCGAGCTGCTGCGTTAAAATCGCAAGAAACATTGCTAAAACGTAAGGATCTGGTATTCATTTTTAATTTATATTCTGATAGTCTATCATGACTGGAAACAATACTACTCATGTAATATTGAAAAACCACTTATCAAGACAGAAGATTATTCAATAAATTCCTTTAAACTCATTAATATATTTACCCTCCCCTTGTTTGAAATACCAAATGTCGTTTCGCTATTTTGTGCTTACTTAATACTGATAGTATGACAAGCTCTCACGAGTTAATTGATTTTCAGGACACCACTCCAGAGATTGTGGTAGTCGAGATGCTCCGGAGTGCCTAAAATGGAAGGATATGGGATTATGTAGCGATGATAAATATAACATTCACTGCTCCAGAACTTGTGGATTTTGCAAGAAGGAACTGAAAAACGAGGTGGAACTAGAAGAACGTAAGCTTTACAATTTCAGCAAGAATTTAATTTAAGGAGGATCTGCTTAAGACGTCTGCCAAAATTTGAACGGACATTAAAATGATCAACGCTCGGGCCAGATTGTAATTCAGTCACTTTAGTCATGTGACACGTTAGTCGCTTACACACAATGTGTTGGAATATTATATATTGTAACGTTATATAGTTATTATATTGAATACTCTACTTCAATTATGCTCACCACCGGCTCAACCAGCCCCAGACCATATAAATCTAATTGTAAAAGCCTCTATAAATAATAAGGATGATTCTAGCTGTTTATACATCTTAAGAATTGTCAGAAAAATCTTTGTAAAACATAATACGTATTACGTACTTGACACATTGTAAGTTAATTGTCGTGTTAAACAACAATCGTGTAAGGCAACGTTAAATAATATCATTATTAATACGCTGTTGAACCTCAACATACTAAAAGGCTGCAAATTTGGCGAATAGTTCAGCTTTATTGCGGTGTTTTTTATCTCCAAATTTTCCATACATAGAAAAGGTTTGGGAAGGTGCAGAATCGCACTATTTACAAAATATAACCGCACGTGTTACTTCTGCCTTTGTATGATTTGATCCCGTTTCCACATCGTCAATTTGCAAAATAATTTCAGGACACCACACCAGAGATTGTGGAACTCGGGATGCCCCTGAGTGTCTAAAATGGAAGGATATGGGTCTATGTAGCGATGATAAGTATAACATTCACTGCGCCAGAGGTTGTGGGTTTTGCAAGAAGGAACTGCAAAACGAGGTGATCGAACTAGAAGAACGTAAGTTTTGGTATAGATTGAAGATTCTAATTTGTACTTAATCTAATCTTGGTTGACTAATACTAGATGATGGGTTGGGGATTCCCATTGACGATGATAAGCCCTATTTTCATTAATGGCACCCATCTCCATCTTCCATAAATGGATACATTTTCCTTCAAGTGGTAACATTAATGAATGATAAGTTCCATTCATCATTGGTCCATTATGCACTTTGAACAAAAAAGCGCTTACACAATATTGATAAAATCTTGTTTCAGGGGTTGAAATTGAAGAGTGAACCTGCTATAGCTAGCTTGCCAAATCGAGGGACAACTTTTCTCTTTTATCAGGAAACACAATCCTGTTTTACCACTATGGAAACAGACTGGTACAATTGTAATTTCTCTAAATAGTTACAGTTGTAATGAATATAGTATTTATTGTTAAAAAGTATTTCTTACCTACTTCAATCATACGTTTTGTTTTACTGCTACATATTATTATATTATCAACATACCGGGTCATGGCGGGTATGGGTGTTAAAAGTAGATATGTCCTTAAAATCGCTTAAAAACAACTATATAGATGCGTAAATCCCATTCCGACAAATCGCAACGGATCCTGTTGAATAATAGAAATAAATACACTACAGAAATTTTAAAGCATTAATAAATACCACCACAAAGCAACAAAATAACTGGCGTTTATAACACATGGTATTACGCTAATACCTGTGTTTAAGTTTCGCTGGAAACGCTGCGAATCTAACAGCTTCGGTATAGTAGCACTATCATTAGCATTTAGCAATACAGTGCGTGAATCGAGTAATTCTTGCTTTATTGTATTTGTAGTTGTACCCAAAATAACTGAAGACTCGCTCTAGATTCCCCTAATGCATTCTTTGACGCAAGAATAATTTGTTTTCGATTTAAAATCTTTTTAAATTGGTGAAATGAATGAGTCGGAGATTTTATGAGCACCGGTCTAAACTCTGAAAAGCAAAAATTTGATTTTCAAGATTTTAGAGCCATTCAAAGATTAGAAACAAATTTCAAGGTACAAGTTCAATTCATGTGCAAAAAATTATTTGACGGATTTGCGATGATTCATGACATGAAGCAGCTTTCAGTTGAACTGCGGGTAATATGAACAATGAACATAAACTTAAATGCCTACTTTTTTCAAAATCCTGGGAATTTGTTGCTCTCGCCTCTCATAGTCATAACTCAGCGAGCCTTCAAGTTCAACCGTTTGACTTGAAATATTCACAGGGGTCAGGTAAACAACTTCAGATAAAGATTTTCAGATTAAAATTAAAGTACCCTGAGCACCAACTTATAATTTTTGAAATTGCTTAAAAATTCAAGTGTAAGACCAGTCAGATGCATGTTGCACTGTTTTAACTTCTTGGCCTCATTTTTTAGTACTGGTTGAATAAAACGATTCGAAGAAAAAAATGTCCAGCGTAAATTACTGAACTATAATTAGGGAATCTTCTATTAAGGGGTCGTTCACATATTACGTAATCAGCCGAAGGGGGTTTCAAATGCTTACGGTTGATTACGGGGGGGGGGGGGGGGGGGGGTTTGGTCGTTGATTACGTAATACAAATTTTAATTTTTTACCGATTTTCGAAATATACCGATTGGACAATTTTCGTTAATTATTTAATGAAAATTTTCGTTTTTTAAACCAATTTTCGTTTAGTAAGTGTTTTGCGATTATTTCATTCATTAATCCGTTGTGATAGCTTTTAATAAATATAGGAGGGGGGTTCGGTCTTGATTACGGGGGGGGGGGGGAGGGTCAAACCTTGATTACGTAATATAGGGGGGGGGGGGGTTCGGTCTTGATTACGGTTGATTACGGAGGGGGGTAAAAATTGCCAAAATATTGATTACGTAATATGTGAACGACCCCTAACTGAATGTAACTGTATGCCGTATGGTAAGGGTGGTGCCTGAGGTTGAACTCGTGCGCGTTTTGGTGAGTCTTTTTGGTGCGCTTATAGCGTTAAAATCTGCGGAAGGGATTGTCACCAAACTGAAACAAATATCCTGACTCACCTGAGCGGTGCGACAATCCATAACTACTACTAGTCGGCAAATCTTTGAGTCTTCCGTTTTATATTATTAAAATCGGCTATATAATATTGTCTGGGAATTATTTCCCCAAAAAGTCGCCCGATCGCCCGATGCACTCAACAGCCATGAAGGTATTAATGTATTATAATTATGCTATCAAGCAGGTAAATTTAAAAGGCGAATAGTAGTAAAATGCGGATCGTAATTAAGTGGAAAAAATTATAACAAATAATACCTTGGCTTATTTTTGTTCTCGGGCTCGCCCTCCGCTAAAGCGTGCGTTGGCATTATCGCCGGATGCACTCAACAGCCATGAAGGTATTAATGTATTATAATTATGCTATCAAGCAGGTAAATTTAAAAGGCGAATAGTAGTAAAATGCGGATCGTAATAAAGTGGTAGTACTAGTTATAATAAAATGTTTCTTATCAAAAAATTTAATTTTTATTGAATGATGTCAATGGCTTATGGCATCAAAGATCGTGTTAATAATAATGATAGGAGAAGTTGCGAGAACTATTTTACAATTTACATGTTAGACGTGATTGACGAGAATAGCTTTTCCTGATCCGCCTTTAAAAGTTGATGCGAGTCGGTTTTTTGGATATCGATCAAAGCGTTGAGTGTGATTATTAGCTTGTGAGAATTGAGATATTTCATCGGGAACTGGAAACTAGACAAGGTTGAGTTTATAACGGTGCTTCTTTTAATAATGAAATGAACATGTTAAAACAAATATGCATTTTCTACATGAACAAGATAGGAAGTCGTTTTTAAGTATCCGGAAAGCTTCGTTTTCATATTTAAAAATAAACTTCGCGGAGGATCAAACATTTACAATTTAGGTGTGGCAAGATATGGAAAATCGTGTGGTACCGCATCTTGATCTAAAATGGCAAACTGTGCGATTTTAATTACAAATTTGGAAAAATCTCAAATGATTCGGCAAAATTTCTGAAATTATGCGGTTGAATTTGTTAACGGTAATGAGCTATTAGTCAATGATAATCCATCAGGTGCTGGTCGTTTCAGAAAAAGATCTATGATCAACGTAATCAACAAGCTTACAATACAAGCAGACAAGCATTAAATCACGCAAATGAGATTTCTGATATTATTTATAAACCGTGATCAGTAACGAAAATACAAAAATGAAAAAGGTGAACATTTGTAAGCTTTGGTGCTTAGTATTAGTAAACTCCTAACGAGTTCAGATACCTATAAAATATCCAAATCACGATTTCGAAACATCCTAAATCGTTGCTAGAAAAAGAGTCTTAAAATTTAAAGAATAGAATGATGGTATTGGTTATTCAGTTCTGATAAGTGAGAACAAGCGAAAACAAGCAGAAAGGACCAAAATGACTCGTCATCCTGATCCAAAGCTTGCACAAAACCTAATATTTTAAAATTAAACATCTTCGAAATTTCGGTATATAAATATGCTCATTTTGATAGATTTCCAATTCGATCTTCAGATTCTCCAGAATCATGTAATTGTAAAGATTGTTTCATTTATTGAGAATTGAGATGATGTTAAATGATTCCAAAAATCTCAATCCAGCCAAAGTGTTTATTAATTTCTTCTTGGATGGGAACAACTAGGGCAGGAGAAACAAAATGTCAAACAACTTTATAGTTAGCCCGCCCCAAATGGACGATGATTAATCACTCTGCACTCGACTGTCACGTGACTTTTTCAACCCGTTCTTTAGCTGGCCCTGAACGACTATTCTAACGGCCCTCTAATCTGATCCCAACACTAACCCAATCCTTAGCAAAGCATATGCTGAAACCCTAACCCTAAGGCTAACGAGAAATTAGACTAACTTCCTTGTACGGTCATAATGTCATATCACTTAACGGGTGATACTCGTAAAATATCTGTTCCATATACTATTACTCCAGGACCGTCGACGAGTCCAACTCGGCGCGCGTCCTGGTATCAACAACAACAACAAATCAATCATATCACGTGATCGAGAAAGTTTTTCGCCAATATCTCGCCAGGGGAGCATTTTATTGTCATGGGAGGTGATTCGGAATCAGCGTTCGAAAATACATCGATTTAAGTTGGTTTCATTGTTTTAGAACAATCTCGAAGATGGACTGTAAAGTGATTGAGCACGCTCGGCCCTAAATTTAGGTTATTTTCAGTTTCGAATTTTGGCAGTCCGATCTTCAAACTTGATGGTATCTTAATCTACAATCTAATGATTTGCAGAGGTGGATGAAAGGATTTACCTGATGCCTGGGGAGTAGGACCAGGAACGTCTGTGCTCTGGCGTAAACGCTTAAAGGATTTGGCGGACTCAGATACCGGTGGTATAACCGTCCAGTAAAATGGAATATAATGCGGTGAAATTGCAGGATGTATATTGTCTGGATCCAAGAATTGGCCAAGGCTTTCATTGTCCAAGATTTGGTGGAGTATTCGAGAGAATTACTGTCGGTAACACCAGTGGGTTGAGACGAATGATTACTTTTAACCGGGGAACTCAGTTTAACCCTCAAAGCAGAATTCCTGGGCAGTCAGAGCTTCTGGATTTCAAAAATAGCTTCATTACTATTAGAAATTGTTAAACGTACTGTAAGAATCAGTAATTAAAGTGCTATGCCCTCTAACTGCACATCGACGATGGTTTCAAAAACGTTGTTACTATTGTCTTGAGCCTAGTGTGCCTCTTTTAACATGGACCAGGTGAATCTAGATTCTAACCAAATACAACTTATTCCAACCGTCTGTATATCAGCAACATTTAGAGTCTCCATACTCATAGGGCGCTACCTTTGGTCTATCTTGAAAAGAAATAGCATGTATGGAGAAATACTCGACCAACTTGTGGCAGTTGTTAAAGAGCGTCCAAATTACCTGGGCACTGGGGACCTAATTAGGACGTTCATTTACCGATTGAAGATATGGCGCCGCCCAGTAAAATTATCCTATTTCTATAATTATGCTCAGGTATGCTACCAGAATGGAAGTAGTGAGATCATGATGCTGATGTTGGACGGTTTTTGACAGTTAGATTCCCATGAGAGATTTCCCAACAGATTTTGTGTTTTGATAATATCAATCATTTCCATTCATAGTGGCGAAGCAGAAACGTTGAGTTTTAAGTCGTGTATTATTTTATTTTTTCCGTTTTTGTCTTCTATCAAATGTAACGAGTACAGAGTAGATTTGTTTAAATCACGTGTACGCGCAACAAATAACGGGAACGCGCTGGTTACTAACTGCCGAAATAAGACCTTTCTTTATATGGTTGTTGTTGCGTCTTACAGAAGTGTTAGACTTAACCGCGGTTTCTTTATTTTGAATTGTGTCCATTCCCTCAAATCATTATTTTATAAATTTGAAGGTCTGGACAGTTTTCCGTCAGCCAACATCCCCAAATATCAAGAAAAATGAAGAAGAATGGATTTCAATTTTGATATAATAACATATAATAATGGTTACTGATTACTGAAATTCTGAATAGGTGATATAGCAGTATAACATAAACAACAACATAATAATAACACTGCAAAATATTTACAATTAGTTTCACCTCCCATGTCATATTTCTTCAGCCTCAGTTCATGGTGTCTGGCACTCATTGAAAAAATATAACAATCAAACTCCACCTTCTTTAAAAATGAAAGGATCTCGCACAAAAAAACGTCTTGTCAATTAAAAAGAGAATTTCTGGTATCGCCTAGCAACATCCACTGCTTATTCAACGATTCTGACGGACATTTGGTTCTTAACTTTGTGTTTCTTTGGAGGAACTCGCAGTGGAGGGTGGTGGGTGGGCCCCGAGTGTCTCTCTACTACTACTGTCTGAAATATTAATTGTTAGTACATCTAATCACAAAATGTTGTAAAACATTTGCGTTAGCGTAAAACATGATTTAATCTCAAAAACGAAATTTTAGCAAAATTGTAGTTAATTGTGACTTGGCTATTAATGAAACTACTGTACCTCAACAATACCTCGCAGTAAATAGCTTATTGTCGCCCACGACGTAAAACTAAAGAATGTATACATTTTAAAACTTACAAGGTGGTGTTAACTAAATACCTTACTCGGGATTATTATGACCGGGATAAAGTGGTGGGTTTAGGGTAATTTCGCCATATTTTTCCCGAACCACATTTTTACCGGTCGTTAATAAACCCGCCTACTCAGCTTTTAGGGTTCCCAAGGGGTATGGGTGCTCATATTTTAATCGTTGTCTTATATTCACTAAAGAAGACTATTGGGACACTTGTTGTAGGTTTTTCGACTTCATTTGGCTAAAATTGCAAAAAATTCACCTTTTTGCCCAATTCTTGTCATATATCCTTATTGTCAAATTTGATTTAAATAGGCCAATTTTTAATTTCTTAGGTATTGACTATCTCTACATAATAAAATAGGACTCAAAGTAAAAGTAACAGTTAAATTAAAACTTGAATTAATTAAAACTGATGAAAGGGATGATCCAGATGAAGATAACGAAGATGATTACAACTTATTGGAAGACTAAACAGCTCTCCCTTTATCTTAATATCGATCTGGTTGTGACGCTTCAAATGTTAAAAATTATTTTCCATCATTATTTCTGTCTACTTTCAACAATTATTGATAATTCGACTTGTTTCACAAGTTTTAGCAATGCGAAAATTTCTAAACTTGCTTATTTCTAATAAGGAAATTTACATCTGAGACAAAATTTTTGAATCTAAAATTGAAAGGTTGGACACCGGTAAAATGGCGACCGGGAAAATGTGGTGGGTTTTGAGCAATTTCGCCATATTTTTCCCGAACCATATTTTAACCGGTCGTTAATAAACCCGTCGTAATAATCCCGAGTAAGGTAGTCTTATAAAATATGATTTTCTACAAGGCGTAAATTATGGGATAAACTGTTGCTTTAGTTCTATTATATATATATATTTAGTGCCTATTGAACTAAAAGCTTATTTGTTTTAGAATATTTTTGTAAGTATGTGATTTAAAAAAAGTATGTGACGAAAATTAAGGTCACAACTCACAGGATTCCTTTTTCGGCACAGAATGATATCAGTGGTTCATTATTTAAGATAAAAGGTTTCTTGTGAGAACAAAGGAACGTGAATACCCCCAAATTAAACGGTATGCAGGTAGTGCTTTATTAATCTATCAACACTTCTAAGTCACAAATAATTTGAGCATGTTCTTACTTTCTAAGGGTTAAAACATTGTAAAGCAAAATTGTTAAATCTGCAGTCCAAAACTACCAGTATTCTCAATAAATTATGGACCCGACTTTGATTACGGATGACAAGAATTATAGCCATGATCTTGTTTTCGGGATTTTTGTGAAAAAGTTAGATATACTACGTGATTTTTAAATGTACGTGATTTTTATTCTTCATATCGTAAAAAATCTAGTACACAAGTCTTTTTATAATAACATGAAGAATACAAATTTATAATATCTTTAAGTTAACCTATTCGATGAGTCTAAACATTTTATCTTAAGTTAATTTTTATATCGCGTTTTCATCGCTGAAAGTGTTTAAATCTGTAGAAAGTTTGGTCAAAAGTTTGGTCAGAACTTGAAACTAGATCAGTTAACTTCTGTAAACTTTGCAACAGCCGTTATGAAGAATGATTGCCATCAACGCATTAAGCATGGAACACGCCTTTACTGCATGATACATAAACATTTAAAATCAAGTCGGTTTCCAACTTTCAACCAAACTTTCGACCAGTAATTTTCTAAACATTATTTGAAGATGTTGTTGAAGGTGGCTGACATACCTCTAATTGGGGCTTGGCAGTTTTGTGGTTGCCCTTGTTTGAAGTTCCTTGAAGCCTGACCAGGACTTGTTTAGAGTTGGGTTTGTAAGGCGGATAGGGGGCAGTCGTCAGGTTTGGTAAGGGGTGTTCAGATAACACCGGCATACTCTGAAAATAGTGTTTAGTCAAATACCCCAAATATGACTGCTGCATTCAGATTTAATTCGAAGAAAATTATCAGTAAAAAAATTAGACCATTCTCTGTGAATAAAATAATATGCTTGGTTATATAACAATCGAACAATGGGAATCAGTGGCAAATAATTTATGACGATGATAAAACAATACCGATCACTGGTTATTAAAATGCTCCTGCATGTCAGTCGAGCACTCTCTGGAGAAACTCTGACAACTCATTGATAGCGCTTGGATATATAATATTATATAATAAAGATAATTTACTGATAAATAAGATCCAGAGGTTAAAATAAGTTAATTACCTGAAGTGGCTGGACTACAGAAGTTTCAGGGGGTTCTACATTCTCTTTAGTAGACTCCTCCTCTTTGAACATAGTCATAGCCTCCAAGTTCAGCGCGCACACCCCCCTCATGAAGCCCTTCTTCATGCGCTCCTCAAACTGCTCCCTATCAGAACGCAGACTAGCAATCTCTGCGCAAGCTGCACCAAGTTGTTGCTGCAGCGCGGCAACCTTGTCCTCGTAATCACGTGTCAGCTTTTCGCAAACTTCCTGTGCGCGGTTCTGACACGCCCGCTCCACTCTTTCTTTCCACTTATTCTCTTGGACGCTCATCCAGGAACGAAATGCGCGTGTCATCAACTTTCTTGCGTAAAAGTCGTCTGCTATGCGGCCGCAGAATTCCTGGGCGTTATGAATTGTGAGATGAGAATTGTAGAATGTAGATCATGAATCAATCTTTAATTAGATACACATTTTGTTAAATCAAATCAAGCTTTATCAAATTGTTAGATTGATCTGTTTCAATGACATATATATTACATATATTACATAGAAAATAGTTTGTATTTCTTTTGACATAAAACGTGTCACTTATTATAAATATCGCTACGTAACATTTGTTTCATAGTATACTATACAGTATACAGCTGTAATCTGTATAGTGAATAGTATTTTAAACTAACTAAGAAAAGTGAAACGCCAAGATTATTCAGAACTAATATTCATATTAGCTAGAATAACTGAAGTGGTCAAAGTACTTTTTTTAAAAGTGATCTCACACTGGCTGCAATAAGCATGAGCAGGAATGTACCTTTATCACGTGACTATGGGCAAGAATTGACAAAAGTTTTAGGAGGGTCCAAGAATGATAATTTTAGTTTCTTCAATTTAGCAAAAATTGTCGTCAAGTGGTTGGTCATCATTGGTCATTGGACCCCTAGACCTCCCTAACATAATACAACATATTTTAACAATATTAAATATTACATTTATATGTATTACATACAACACATAAATTGACTCTAAACTGAATACAAAGTGTTCTCACCTCTCTTTTCTCATCGCAATGCCTCAACTTCCACTGACTGAAACTACGAACAAGTCCTTCCTTAGTTTTCTGTTTATTGAGGGAAGTTGTCAGGTTAGCTATAATCGAGTCCTTCTGAGCAATAGTTCTCTCGCAGTTCGCAACTAATTCCTTGAGTTCCTCATTTTGAAGTGTTAGCCGGGCCATCCGTTCGTTGCTCCTAAGAGATTATATGTAGAGAGAGCGATAATATTTCAATTAAGCATCCTGATAAGGTTTCATATTAGCTACCATCCTGATAAGGTTTTATATTACCGACCATTGCCAAATGCCAATGATGTTATATCCGTAATGTGAACATGAGATTTTTCTACATCAGTCAAACGAAGGTATTCGAATTATTCGGTTGAAAAGTTTTAAGTTTTTGAAAACTTACTTCTCCCTCTCGTCCAGTATTCTGCACTTCTGTTGTTGAAGTAACTTCAGTTTGATCTGTGTCAACTCCGCCTGAAATTAAATTTGATACATTCTCATCATTAGCTAGGATTTTATGATTAAATAAGGGACTGGTTACTGGTCACGTAATTTAAAAATACTGAAGAATTTGTGAATAATGCAAAGTTCAGAATTTGGGTTTGAAGGATGACAATGTACGAACCATATCATCTACTAAAAAGGTCACATTATCATGGAAACCTTTAGACACGTCTCTTCTAGACAACATACATTCGCTCAGTCAAATTCTCCACACCATCAATTTTGATAAGACCAAGTTTATAACAACAAGATATTATCAAACTCCGAAAACGCTTCAATATTCCCCTGCTCCTCTTTGCGACTAAAAGTTTTTTGATATCGAAGTCTACTTCACTCAAAGCTCGGCACTTTTCACACTGTTCACATATCGACATATTTCAAGGAGTAACTATGAAACTTAATAAGCACAGAACTGAGAAAAAGCTAGAGAAAGATACCGGTTCAATCCGAGCGGATAGAATAGATTAGCACAGCGGCGTTATAATACAATAAGTGAATCGAGTGAAAGAGAGGTGTCTGTGGCAAATTGCAATTACGAAATTTCAAGACAAAAGATGGGGTACGTGAAAAAGATGATCATCAAATATAATAGCTTGTCAAGAACAAAATATTTTACTATTATGTCTCCAGTCCTTGTGTAATTATATCGTATCGATTTAATTGAACTTAGTTCACAACCATCTTGTCATGTGGGCCTTGTCGTGATGATAATAATAATATGATGATAAAAACAATAACTTGACATCTATTCATCGCTACAACATCGCTTTATAGCCGAAAAGGAACTTAAATGTAAAGGTACGGCTTAGGCTATTTACAGCGACTCATGAGCTGGAACAATTACCATTATAAGAACTAAGACTTGAACGAACTAAACTATGAATTTGTATCAGAAATGTCCTGAAGAAGACTTGTACTCTGAAGAAGACTTGTGCTGCTGCTCTTACGCCAAAGAAGATCTGTACCGCAGTTAAGACAATAGCTGAAAAGGATGAAAGAAGCAGAAACGTCGTAATCTATGGAATAAGTGAATCCGACGGCGAGAAGTTAGAAAACAAAGTTGCTGAAATTCTTGGTGAGATAAACGAGAAACCTTCATTTCGTGACTGTTGTAGAGTTGGTCTGAAGAGAGCCGAAACATCACGACCTACTAAGCTATTTCTGAATAGCTCTGATATGGCAGCTCAGGTGCTGAGAAAAGCTAAACTTCTACGAACAAAACAGGGCTATAAAAGTATCTACATTTGCCCGGACAGATCAGTGGAAGAAAGGAGAGCTTTCAAGAAGCTCTGGGAGGAATTGAAAAGAGGAGGAAAGCAGTCAAGCAGAGCCTTGTCAGCTCTGATAAGAACATGTATCAGCCTCGTCTGAAGAAATTTGAACTGTTTCACATTCTTTATCACATATTTATTTTTTCACAATTTTGTATCACATCTTTGTTGTCATATCGGGGCCATGTAATTGCGGGCACATTTTACTGTGCAGTACTGTGTTTGGTCTCCCGTCAGATTTTACAGACGGGGGCAATAATTTATAATTTATTTTATACGTTATAATTGCTGTACTCTGTAGGGTTTGAAAAGTATTTAATAAAAAAGATAATAATGATTAATGGTACTATGGTAGCTGGTCAATGGTCACAAACAGAGCTTAGGGTTCACATCATCGCACAGTTAAGTTTCAGGATAATTTGGCTCTTCGTTACAATTCATTGTAAGTAAGTAACATTATATCTGAAAGCAATCTACAGTAAAACTTCTCTATACCGTGCCTCTTTATACCAGTATTACGGGTTAGCTCATATACCGTGCCTCTTCTTTTCCCCCAATATTGTTAGTCAATTAGGATGTGTTTGGCCAGTTCGTACAATAAATGTGATTATAAAAGCACACATCGCATTTGGTGATGATGTACTGATCTACTGATGTGATACATATATCAATCTGCATATCATCGCGCTATGGGCTCGATATAGTGCTGCACACAATTCAGTTGTCACAAGATTATATATAAATATAAAAAGTACATGTACTAGTAACAAATATATAACACATACCAGAATGTTTTGCCGCAAAGCAATGTTCCATTCGTCGATCTGCCCCTCCAATCTGACAATATCACTATCATGGGCGGAAGTAAGTATCTCTGACTCCCTGACTGTTTCTCTTTTTACCAGACTTGCTGTTTCATCTTCCAGAGTGGCGTCTAATTCTGTAAAATAGGTCGTCAGACTGTTTATTACAGAGTATGTGCTGTTGGTACAGTGCTAATCTTAATTATGACGAGAAAGATTTACCCCTTTCTTCATCAGATAACGAAAATGGCGAGACATCATAATAAATACTTAAATACTATTATTTACGCTACTGTGATTATCGCAAATCTCTGTACAGTCAGCGAGAGGCGGGAATTCCACCACTGCTAGTAGGATTAACTCTGTTTTTATTGTATGAATCTGTATTACTATTTGTATTTGATAGTAAGTTCTATCTGTATTTGATATTTCAAAATCATCATGTTACAAAGACAGATCACGAAATAAACAATCTTACCGTCGAGCGTGTAGTCACTGACAGTATGTCCCGAGCTATATAGTGTTGGCAAACTGCCAAACACTCTATTCTGCACAGAAACTTCTTTAGCTTTCTCCCCCTCTGTAGTGTTGACTGAAGCACCTAAAAAACATAAGAATATCACTTGACCTTGTTGTAGCTTACACACTGTTCCTTATTAACCCCAATATGGGATAACAACAACAATAATAACACGCAATCATTGTTATATTATCATATTGTGGCCGTTATGTAACATGCATGCATATCTTTAACGGTTGACTAATCACTAGCAACTAAAAGAGGCAATAAATGAGGGTTGCTGGGTAAATTCTTACTTTGAAACAAATTATCATTGTTATACAACAACGCTAACAATTGAGATATTGATCGTTTGTGGCTCTATTTTTATGTGAAATGTATATGATTTACCATTACTTATCTCAGCAGATGGGGCAGGAGTAACTCTGGTAACTTCTCTAGTGGTTATCAACCTGACAGGCTCATGTTCGGACGAACTCTGTAAAGAAAACAACTTACTAAACATTCCACTACTGAATAGTAAGATTAATATAAACAATAAAGAGAAGTATATTAAATATTTAACTCTAAGCTCGGTCCACTGTTTTATAAACAGCGCAGTAACGTAGCTGGTTAGAAGTTTACAAAACTTATTAGCGCATAATAAGTGCATAATTAGTGCATAATAAGTGCATATCTTGTGCATATCTGATTTACTTACTGGCTTCAGCAAGTGCATACTGCATTATAACTGCACAGTAGACTAGCAACAGTCAAGGAAAACAAATTATACAATTAATCCGACTTTATAATTACTTAATAAAAGATCTACGAATAATCGTACTTTACCTTTGCATCATTTAACCAGCATGGCATGAGCAATGAAAGATTTTATTAAACCAGAAAGCTGGCGTTATAACTTATAATAATGTAGTACTATGACTTACACTGCTTGCATAAGAAGAGGCAGGCGGTGTTCTCTTGGGTAAGGGTGGAGGGAGAGGGGTTGGGTTAGGGTTACTGTTCCGCAGTAGACGGATCTGATCTTCTTGTTGTGTCACATCCTCGTCCATCCTGATCAAACCAATAATTCAGTGATAGAGAACACTTCATAATTATATCAGAGAGAGATGACATCTTTTGGCTGGCTAAATCTTAAAATTCTTCTACAGTTATCATGCTTTGTAGACTGTTTCACATTGTCTTGTTCACAAAGTGAGCATTTTTTCGAATGGTAGATAACATTACAAAGATCAAAGCAAAACTTACCCATCTGCCAGAGTACCCATGGGCGTAACAAGAGCATATTTCAGTAAACTCTGGTACTCCTCTTGGAGCCTTGAGCTTACAGAACTGCCTGCACTGCCAACAGATATATCAGGTATACTGGCTTCACTATCGGTGTCCATGCTGAGATATTTCAGAGGATTAGGGTGGAAATTACAAAATTACATAAAATTTGCAGCATAAATGTGAAAATGTATCACTGGGTGAAAGCAACAGCAAGATTCACAATCTGTATACAAAATGACACTGATTCATATTCTGAAGAATACTTTTCCAATGTGTTGGCACTGTAAATTGATAAAAATAAAAATGAGGACTGAATCTCTCACAATCGTTGAACTCTTCCGCAATTAGGTGTGGTTATTTCATTAAGGGGGCAGGGGGGTCTTTATGAAATGTCTCTCGAAATTGATTTTATAGTTGTTTCTGATAGAGGGGAGTGATATCTATCAGCTGCTTTTAGTCCCATGGAAAAACGTTATTCCTAGCCAAAGTTATCGCCGGTCAAAGGTCAGCGCTCATGTGTAATTGTATTGCTCGAGCGACTTTCAATCACGCGCCCTGAAAATCAGCAAATCATCATTAGAATGTGGGACAATTTTGAAAATTTTTACTTAAAGCACTAGCCAAATTGCACCTTTTTGCTTTACCTATTCTCAAAATCATGACATTAGAAAAATGGTACGTTTGGCCACTGCACTGGATACAAATATTTTAAAGTTGATTATATAAGAGAACTAGAAAGCCTGTGATCACAGGGAGGAAGATAATATTCAATATTAGTTTTTATAGCATCAACAAATATCCGTCACAACAGAAGATACAGCCGATTAATATGCAGCTTGCACTGATCACAACGTAATTACCACAAAACCGATCAAAATGTCGCTCGCAAATCTTTACACGTGCACATGCGCTTTTGGACACCGTTACCATGGTTACTATGCAACTTCCTATTTCTCATAAAATTTGCACGTGGGCAGTCGTACATACATACAAAGATAATTCTTTGAATTATAATAATTATGAACAGTCATATGCAAAAAGCACACCATTTTACAGTTTTTTGAGATTTTCACTGCACAATGATTCAATGGTCAAATTACAGATTAATATGTCTATCAAAAGATGGTTTTATGATTCGAGCATATAATCCCCGTAACATCCTTTACTAGCAGCAGTAGAGAAATTTTTAAAAATAACGACCCTCAGATCGATGAACTCCAGAAAGCAGAACCATATCAAAACCTGCTGGCATCGCCGGTAGATCCAGAAAGGTTAAGCTTTGGACCTTAATCTACCTAGCTTGAGATCCCGAGCTAAACTAAATTTAGAAAAGACCAGAGCATGGAGACTTTAACTGCTGTTAGAGTTGTCCATTGTTAATGGATTAACCCGGCGCGCGCTATTTCGTAGCACTTGCCTTGGGCTAATGCTTTTAATATTTCTAAAAGAATTAAGTGGCAAGCACTACTTCGAAGAAATTTAGACGATCAGTAACATTCATCAAGCCGATCAACCGAAGATGATTGCGAGAAACATGTTTTTGATGCTCGGCGTGGCCCAGTTGTGCAATGTGCATTGCGCTATAATCAACTGTTAGAGCTGCCTTTAAAAGCTTTATAGGGGTCGTTCACATATTACGTAATCATCCGAGGGGGGGGGGGGGGGGTTTCAAATGCTTACGGTTGATTATGGGGGACAATTTTCGTTAATTATGTAATCAAAATTTTCGTTTTTTAAACCAATTTTCGCTTAGTAAGTCTACATCAAAAATGGGGGGGGGGGGTGTCTAATCTTGATTACGTAATATAGGAGGGGGGTTGGGTCTTGATTACGGGGGGGGGGGGGGGGGGGGGGGGTCAAACCTTGATTACGTAATATGGGGGGGGGGGGGGGTTCGGTCTTAATTACGGTTGATTACGGAGGGGGGGGGGGGTAAAAATAGCCAAAATATTGATTACGTAATATGTGAACGACCCCATAGGATTTGTTAGCACTTAAAGCATTAACAAATAAAACACAAAATTGCTATCATGCATGTTATATTAGGGCACAGGTTTATTATCGGATGTTTACTTATATTTACAGTGATATTATTATATGAGAGAGCCGAAAGTTCAGAAAAAAAGGGGGGACCCCCAACCCATGTAGCTGTGACACCTCACAGCAAGTATACCAAAGTGGCTCTTGCTTGTGATCAGTGCATCAACTACCCGCCGAAGGGTTGGAAGTCCCCCCTGGGATCATTTCGTCCGTAAAATTGTATACAATATAAAATAGTACAGTAAAATATCTACCGAAAGTTCAGAAAAGCTGCTGAAGAAGAGAGCACAGGGAAGGGGGAGGGAGATGGAGGTGTTTCGATATATGATATAAGGCTTACTTTTAAGTATGAAGTTTTAAAAGTCGATTTTGAAGGTGAAGATCGAGCTTTCACGATCAATTAGGGCTAGTACTGAGTACAAGGCAAACATAATAATATAAAGTGACGTTAAGTGACGCGATCAGCCCCACTTCTTGTCAAATTACCTTTTGAATTACAATTGAAGTAACATCCGTCAACGAAATACACAATACAGCTACTTTTAGTTCCTTAAAGTTGCTCAAGGGTGCTGGCAGTCATGTCCCAAAAACAAAATTTGTATTTACCGCAATTGATTGATATAAATCGACCTCGTTTACATATGAACAGCCAGGTCAAGGCAATTGTAAGAATTAAGGTGGAATTCCATCGAAATATGTTGTTGAGGAATTCCACGGAGCTTATTCGACTTGACGGATAGTGATAAAATAATATCAAAATAGGTCTTTGCGAGTTTCTACAGTTGGTTGTAGTGGGTTGCAAAACATGTATAGTTCGTACAACGTTACCAGTTACTATACTGGTTAAGTCTGACAAGATCCCTTAAAGTTGTAAGTTTAGAAGAATGCGGCTTCTTTTAATGCTTTAACATTGTAAGATTAGACCGAAAAGCTCTGATACGCGTCCGCGTCACCCGTAACCAGGAAACCTTACCGGCTCACGGCTGGGGCCTAACTTCAAAAGTAAAAAAATAAAGACTTAGATATAAGGCTTATTTCGACGGGGAAATTAAAAGTATGAAGTTTTAAAAGTCGATTTTGAGGGTGAAGATCGCGTTTTTACGACCCCATCCAAACCCCTTTCGTGTTGACAAAATTCTTTAGTTTCTTTTGCATTTTGTATTTTAAAATTGAAATTTGACTTAGTTGGTGGCGATTTATGCTTTGTAAAAGTTACCTGGGGACCCCAGGCTATTATGTTCATAAACATAGCTGGCGTAATTGAACCCTCTAAAACGCGCAAATAATTGTAGGTTTATAACCTACCAGGACGCGCGCCGAGTTGGACTCGCCGACGCAGTTCCCAATATCAAATATATGGAACAGATATTTTACGAGTATCACCCGTTAAGCAAATAAGTGCGTTTATGCGATTTTACAATCAAATAATCAGATTTTACAATCTAACTCAGCGCGCTCTCGTAGCGCATACGTCACTTCTTTGTTCTTTCTTATTGGTAGTTGGCGTGCACGTGATCTTTTGCACGGCTGTAATTGGTTCTGAACGATCACGTGAATGCTAGCTCACTTAACGGGTGATACTCGTAAAATATCTGTTTCATATACAGGACCGTCGCGCGACGAGTCCAACTCGGCGCGCGTCCTGGTAGGTTGTGGGTTGTAAACCTACAAGTCCAATTCAACTCGGCGCGCGTCTTGGTAGGTTATAAACCTGCATAACCTGGTATGGGGACCCCAGGCTATAAGGTTCTAAACATAACGTTATATTAACATAGATAATAGAGATTCGGCGGAATGGCAGGCTGTGCACCGCCCAGTAAGGCTTCTTGTTGTTGTTACGTTGTATATTGTAGTACATAGTACAATAGTATTATGTATTAGTAGTGGTACTGAGTACGCGTATAGTAAATATTAGACAGAACATCCTGTAGCTATTCAGGTCCAAAGAGGGTACTTTCTAGACTATACCGTATTCATTATTGCTAAATCAGGAATATTGAATATGATCATTAATGATTCAGCGGTTGACTGACGATCATTTTGACTGGAAGAGTGCTACTACGAAATAACGAGGTCAGAGGTTGCCACTATTTCAAATCGCGATCATTTACTTCTACATTATGTCAACTGTGAAACAATTCAAACAATACGTCATTCACTAAAATGTAAAGGCTGTTTTCAAAATGAACATTTAAACAAGATTAATAGCAATAGAAATATTTACTCAATGTCTTATCCATTATCAACACTTTCATTATGAAAAATGTTGGAATCTTTAACTAATTTGTTTTTTAAACTGAAGTTTCACCATTAAAATACAAAATATCTAAATTGAATCCCAAATTAATAGCATCGATTTACAGGAACAGTATTTACAAAAGTTTAAACTGGATTTCTCTCAGTCCCATCAACCCGCTCTTTAAGAATCTCTACTAACTGAATTCCTTTCCAAGAATTTATTTCATCCTTCAAATCAGTCTGAGGTACGACGTCCGACATTTGCAAGGGTTGACGATTGAAAGGGTCGATGGGGTCACTTAAAAGATGTTTTGCGATGACGGATCGATCTACTATCATATTAGACGAGGGTAGAAGCACAGGTTCTGCCATTAACGTTCCTGAAACACGAGTATTAAATAGGTTCCTGGTGTTTGAAATAATATTGGGAGTAACAAAGCATCATAAATTATTACGATTTCAATTTATGGGATTTATTGTTAAAATTTCAAGGTCACAACTTTTAAACGAAAGGATTATAACTGAACCAACCAAGTATGGGGTCAAGGTAATGACTAGGAGCACGATCGGTGAGCAGCTCTTCATCTTCATGCGATGTCACAGCCCCTTCCGCTAACACTGAAACCTGAATAGAAGGAGTAGATTTAATTTGGAACGGTAATTCGGTGAGATAGATTCATCGTTTAATTACTTCTCTTGACAAATTTGGTTACATCTAACAACCACCAATACGATCATTTGACGAAGTGTAGATATGTCACAAACCTTGAGTAGATCTGTAATGACATCTTCAGGTACATACAACTTGCGGAGTTTGACAGCTGTTTCCTTGAACAAAGAGGGATGGTAAGACCGTCCATCACGAGGAATGGCGTGAACAAAGGATGATTCGTCCTTCAAATTGATGTAGATATGCACGATTGACTGGAGTAGTTTACCAGGATAGAACTTCACTTCGTCCAAGTTCCTGACCTATTAAAGGAACAATCAGGTTGGACAGTATTTTCACTTTCCAGATTTCAGTTACAACTTCGAAACTAGTGGCATAACTTTTCAAATTTTGAGCTACAAATTTGAGTTCAGTTCATGATTCCTTATATTCCCTTTATTGTTAAGTCGTTAGAATACCATACTGAAGTTCATAGATAGCAGCTATTGTCTATTCTCGAATGCGCATAAATGATGAATGATCTACAGAATATCGATAACATAATCAATATTATTATTACAAACCTTGTATTTAGTCTGACTGTCACCCACAAGTTCCTTAAGATAATAATTCAGCATGGTCACCAGAGTATCAACCAAAAGTGGGGTGACGAATGCGTACGTTACATTCCTGTGATCATCATCACCCATACCCTCGCACCTACAAAAGAAACAAGGAATAACTATACAATCTACACGATTGAAAAGCGGACATAGAAAGATAAGCGAGTGAAAATATGAAGCTGTGGATTTGTCACTCACCTGCCAGTCATGTACCGGAGACAGTTAACTGTTTCGTAAGAGAGGATGTTGTGGGAAGTACACATTCGTTTGAGATCAGCCAGGGTTTTCAGCTTGCTTTGGCGTACATTCTCTTCAAGTGCATTCCAAGTGTCTGTGTCGTCTTGCTCCATTTGCAGCTTCTTAATCTGACGTTAGGACTGTTACAATGTTAATAGAAAGATTGCGACATTCCAATTGATTTGTGTACCCGATTTAAATTAGGAGCTCCCTTAAACATAAGTTAAATAACAATCTTACATCATAACAACAAACCTCTTCCAAGTTATGTAGCGCTTCATCAAGTAGGAAGTTGGCATCGTTCATTAGAAGTTTTACGAAACGAGTAAACAACACAGTCGTATCTTCCTCTCGGCCCCTCACTTCGAAACTCATATTTGATACTTTAAAACTCTGTCTTGGCCAGATGTATTGCAGCAGCTCAAATATGTGAAACCTGGGTTTATATCAGGTTAATATTAATTTTTAAAAGTTTATAAAGCTTTACATAACGCGATATTGGGAAGGAAACAAGTAAAACGCAGAGTTACAGCATATGTTCCAAAAGTCCGATATACCGACTTATATCTAGAGGCATGGAAAGTTTTGAACTCCTCGAAAGCACAAAATAGAAAACAAAAGAGAAACTCAGCACTCACCGATACTGGAACTTGTGTTCAAACTGTGCAGTGTGTTCGATGTCAACAAACAGACGTATCAAAGAAGATCCAAGCTTGTCCTGCGCCAGTAAATTTGAGCACAGTGCTGCTTCCCTGCCAGATGATTGCTTTTACTCACTTGTTATGACGAGTTCACATAGCATTTATTCATGGAACACAGCTAAAAACAGATAGCGCGCGCAATTCGCGCGCGTTACCGGACAAGCTCGACATGAGCCACTGTGTATTTAGTAACGAAAAGACCATAGACGTGCTAGTACAAACAGAGGCGGCGACCGTATTTCCTCATACTCATAATAATTATTTACCGATTTGTTGTCGCCACGGATGATTGTGATCGTTCATTAGGGATGAACACCGTCATGGCTTCCACAAGTTCAGCCCTGGTGTGAGGATTAGGAACCCATGTTGGATGGCAAAACAGCACCAGAAATGATATTAAATGTTCCAAATTCTCGGACACAAAATTCTCCAAGCTTGCTTCTGCAAAATAACGAATGTTTATGAGGAATTGACACGCAGCTGATATAAAGTAATTAGGTACCATAGCTATGGTCTTTGAAGGATCATCGGGTACAATAAGCGAACTTTTTATATCAGTAACAGTGACAGAATCGTGATCAATCGAGATATGTGACAACCAATTAGTTGATGAACAGTAGAACAACAAAACATGTGCGATGGTGTCGGGATGCAGTAAATGAGTTTTAACTTCCAACTGTTCCACGAACTGAGTTTCGAACCTATCTCTGATCCCAGTGTCAACACTGAACGGACTGGCTCCCATATCCTGAACCAACCTCTGGGTCTCCATTAATGATTTCATCAGCCGTCTGTATTTGTCAAATGGAGCGACGTAGGCTATCTGTAGAGCTCGGTGAGTTAAATAGAAACAAGTTGATATAAAGTTAAAAGTATCCGGAGTCCCCAATGTTAACAAATCTTCCTTTGATACCTCGATGCCGTTGATCTTATCTAATATCTTATCTTCTGAGTATTGTGGAAACAAAGATCTGGAATGCGGACCACAAAACCTCACATCAACTGTAGATAATTTGGCATTGAGAGGTCCAAGGAATGGTATACTCAATTTCAATAGCACAGCTGCCAGATTTAACATGAAACCATCCGAAGCACCACTTGATGACACAAAACTAGCCACAAGTTTAGCTTTATTTCTGTTCGCATCCAAACAAGATACAATCCAACTCAAGGTGCGATCTTTGGCTTCTGATTTAATCAAGTGATAAATGAACTTGCTGGTCAATGTCTGAATCGTGTCTAGCATTTGCTGATACTGCGACGAACTGTGCTGAAAAGGAAACACATTACAATTTATGTGCTCATTCATTACTTTAATATGCTGACAAAATTTGAAACATTTCAATGTAGACAATTTTTATTTTAACACAGAACACTAATAACAACTGAACTTGTACACGCGTATTTGACACATCAAACCTCCAATTCAAAAGCAGTGTACAATATCGCACATTGAACAAGTGCATTCTGGGTACTATATAGAGCGTCATCTTGCATTATAGCGAGAAATGTACAACTTGTATTCAATAAACATTACTACACTATCATGTATAATATCATGTAAAGCAAATGCCTACTCACAGTATAGTAGCACAGCTATACAATGACGCACAAAACAACACACATAAAGAAGCAATATCAGGATAAATACCTGGGATATATCTTGATTAATAACAGTTGATCGGTTGAAGTACGGAGATACATATCTATTTAGATCTGACATGATCATACCCCGTCTTATTGTACTACAGCCTAGAAGTTTCCCCAGGAAAGTATCGTGGTAAGCTGCTCCGCTGTCAGGATTAGTTGGCAGCCAGCCAGGCAGATCAGGAATAACCTGAAAGCAATTATTTTGTGTGAGTGTGAAAACACGTCATAACATGCCATGCTGTCATGTTGTATATTTGTCATGGGTAGCACGAGGGGTGTGAGTGTGTGACTCACAGGTCATGTGGCGGAAAACAGGAATATTGTACAATGTACATAGTGCATAATTACTTGATAATGACGTATCAATTTAGGAGGGATTCAAGTATACTTATACAGCATGTTGATTACACTCCAATTATTATACATCGGAATGTATACTAGCACGGACATAGCTCAATGTCAATTAGAAACACTACTACACATTACCCGTTTCGAACAGTGTTGGGCTTACAATGAAACATAACACATCATCATAATATTATATATAATGTATACTAGCGTATATATATACGCTAGTATACATCATGTCTGTGTGCTGTTTTTTTAGTTAAAGCCAATATAGCATTATATTTCCACACCTAAATAACATGATTTAACGGCATTAAAACTTTTCAGACACCCATATTTCCGAAAATAGGATTACTAGTATTAATTCATCGGTAGAGAGCAATTCAATGACTGTTGAAATCATCAAGCCATTGAGTGCGGTGTAAGGAATTTTAACAAAATAATAAAAACAATATACACTGTTTGAATAAAAGTTCATATTTTGTGCGCTGTGGTAATATATTTACTGTGGCTGCCTACATTTGTGAGTTTACCAAAGTGTAAGTTGTAAGTAAGTGGTATGAAATTGAATGGGCGTTCGTTTGTTAGCCACACGGGAAATGTGCTATCATTTCATAGATACCCTCAGTTTAGCGATTGGAAATTAAAGGAGATAAAACCACGGTAAATACCCGATAACATCCCCAGTTCTACATCGAACAACTTAACATTGGAATTTGGAAGGGCCTTGAAATATATTATTGAGACGGCTTGACGGCTGTCCTGGGTACTTGGAGAGTTGCCAGGTTAGTTATATAGACATGCAGTCCTAGTGCTCAAACTAAATCATCGTTAATTTTAGACGCGTCCGTCATGAGTGATGATCTAATATTGTAATTTAGTCTGAGTCACATTGTACTTCGAAACAAATTGTAGATACTCTGAAGTAGAGTCTAAGAATCTCAGGTATTTATTGCCAACAACTGTGGGGTGTGGATGAGCTATGTTCTATTTGTGATACAGTACAAAGTGAGGTTTTACATTTGTAAGGAAACTGGCTATTATAACTGTAAGTATATCCGGAATATAGAATATTTTAAAAACTATATAAAAATGTTTATTATATAACAAAACTACTTGGTCACAAGTACGGCTATGACTTCCTTGGTCTTGTTGTTCACATTAAAAGTAACACACATTACAGTAATGTAAAATTACATGGCAAAATTCTAAAACTATATAAACAATTTAAAAAAAGATAATGATCCATAATTTACAAGTACTCACCTTGGCAATGTTCTTGTTAGCCACCAAAGTGTTCAAAGCATTAAGAATGGAAACAGTTAGAGGTGTACTGATTAGACTACACATGGTAGTTTTTCGCGTCATGCAGGCCAGGACAGGTCTTATCATGGTCGTGAGATCTTCCGCAGAAACAGACTCTTGTGACATTATCTCCGCTAATATCTGAAATTAAGTAGACTCAAGGTCAGCTGCGCCCTTGTTGTGTAGTCTGTTACTTTAGAGATCTTAAAGTTTCAGGGATCTAAATACTAAGTTGCTGATACATCTTCATATCAGGGGGTGATTTAATTACGATACTATCGCTCATCGCTGGGTGTACTACTTAAGTGAGGCCAGTGTAAGATGAAACCCGGCCCCCGGGTATTTTATCAAAAAAAAGCAATTACATAGTTACATACCCTGCATAATTTTATATCAACAATTTAGGTTTACATACCCGAATAGTTTAACAAGAGGGGTTACTGTAAAACTCAAAGTAAGCCAAGAGGAACCAAGGTACACTGGTTGACACTACAATCTACATACATGTTAAATACCTGGTTACATACCTGGTTACATGATTGGTTACATACCTGGTCACATACCTGGTTACATGCCTTGTTACATACCTAGGTTACATGCCTGGTTACATGCCTGGTTACATACCTAGTTACATGCCTGGTTACATGCCTGGTTACATACCTGGTTACCAACCTGGTTACATACCTGGTTAGTGAAGTGGTAGGAAGTTTCCGTATCGTATACGCTGTGTTCGGAGGTGGTGATCAGAGATTCTACCAGCTGTTGAGCTGGATCTTGGGGTGACCAGCTATCATTACTCAGCAGCACTATCCTGGTAATAGAATTAGGGATTAATAATATACCACAAATAAATATTTTGTTTGGGAACAAATATAATTTATTTATTATCAATTATCATACATTATTTCTTTTCATCATGGACTGAATGGCCATGATTGCTTGCTACAAACCACAGGAGTTTATTATATCTCTTCAGAGTGAAGGCCAGGAGACCTTAGATGCTTTCCTCAGACTATTAGGCTACAGACAGGCCGGGGACAGGCTCCGTACACGCAAACACGCGACACGCGTCACACAGTGCTATCGTCAAGTATGATTTAATGGGTACTGGTTTCAAAACACTATGTACCGTACACAAGTTCATTAAAAAGTAACTGTTTCTAACCTAGCCTCAGGGCAACTACGCACACTGCGTGTAACCAGTCGCATTAGGTGACATAATCTTATTGGCTGAATCGGTTCAAATGTATTGTCGCCTCATACACTTGTGTAACAGGATACCAATACTAGTACTCATGCCATATACGGATAAAAATACGCCAGTTTCAGTCTTTAAAAGTTTAAAAGTAAGATGTGTGCAACCCGTGTGCAAATTATTACGTCCCGACCCATAATAGAGCCATTAAATTGGATGTGTAATATTTAATTATGTGCGAGCTTCCATCGTGGTCTACTCTGGCCTTATCTGGATGAAGATGCTGGCCAGAATTCAAAAGCTTACTACAGTAAGCTAACTCTAAGCTGAAATTACAACAAACAGGCGGGAAACTGACTTTCTACCCCTCGACACTTTACCCCCTGGTGCTTTAAACAAGGGTTGAAGTATAAGTTTAGGCTAAGGGAAGGGTATTTAAGTTAGTAAATACATACTACATAGGATACTGGATAGGGTACAGTATTGGGAGTTAACATGCCGCACAGCCACAAAGGTTGTGACTACCAATAAAACTAATTAAAATTTATTCAATATCAAGTCACAAAAATCAATAAAACACGCCCAAGCTCTCTCTCTCTCTCTCTCTCTCTCTCTCTCTCTCTCTCTCTCTCTCTCTCTCTCTCTCTCTCTCTCTCTCTCTCTCTCTCTCTCTCTCTCTCTCTCTCTCTCTCTCTCTCTCTCTCTCTCTCTCTCTCTCTCTCTCTCTCTCTCTCTCTCTCTCTCTCTCTCTCTCTCTCTCTCTCTCTCTCTCTCTCTCTCTCTCTCTCTCTCTCTCTCTCTCTCTCTCTCTCTCTCTCTCTCTCTCTCTCTCTCTCTCTCTCTCTCTCTCTCTCTCTCTCTCTCTCTCTCTCTCTCTCTCTCTCTCTCTCTCTCTCTCTAGAATACTTCAGACTCACCCGATCATTCTAACAGCAGCAGATCTGCACTCCCTCAGCGTCTCACTGATCACACCCCGAGAGTTGGTTCTCAGTTCGTTATCACACCTGCTCACACACCCCGCCAGATAGGGGACCAGCAGAGGCTCCACCGGGCACCGTGCTCCTCCCCCTATCTCTATCTGACATTCTCGTAATTCTGGTGCTGACATTGATAGTCGCTCAAATAGAACCTGCGTGTGGGAGGGCTTGAAATTCTTGTCAAAAATTAAATAGCGCTTAATGACGCTTTGGGAGGAACTGTAAAGTGCTAGTAAGTGGTTTATTAAAATTATATCATGCTTGGGATTGTAGATTATGAGGCTGATGTCTGCAGGAGGATGTGAGATTAATAATAATCGTCTTGTCTGGTGATACAAATTTATGAAAATTATGATAATATTAAATATATTAACTAAGTATGTAATACGTGATATATTAAATTGTGTATTAATATATATAATAAATAATATAAATTAACAAATTATAATTTTTTCCCTTAAAAATACAAATTTTTCGATTAATTTTTCTTGATGAATTGTTCGTGGAATTTATGCATAACTAACAAGGCCAAGGTGTACAGTCTATTTATATCCTCTGTAGTTGCGATCTTGAAAATTGAAACAACAACTTTAATCAAACGAAATATTTCAAACGTTCGACATCTTCATCAGTCTGAAATTACAAAACATTTGCACCTTGTTAGTTACAAAACATTTGCACCTTGTTAGTTACAAAACATTTGCACCTTGTTAGTTATACACTCTGTGACTCCCAGACAGCGCTCCACTTAATAAATTATTAAATAAATTAAATTTAAATAATTTCATATTAAATTATATACCTCGTCGAGAATATCAAGAGAAAGAGTATTAGTAGAAGCAGCAGTGTCCAGTAACATGGTCAGGAACTGGGGTTGGTATGAGGGTTGGATCTCAGTACTGACCGCTACACAGAATATACGGGATATCGTCAGAGAAACCAGCTTTCCATCGTCAACCATCTCAGTTGGAGTACTATAGAACTGTGTTTAAATCTTACAGGGCGTTCAGAGTTTTATAAGAATAAGATATATAATGTTAAATATTATAGTGTTATTAATTTATTATAATAATATAATATGATATAATATAATATATCATAAATCATTATGGGAATTCAAATTACAGCTACTGAGTAGTTACTCTATCTGCAGCCCTTACAATTACGGAGCTGAAGAAAATATTAATTAATATGGGAATATTGAATTAAACATAGTGACAACTGTGCCAATAATTAATAGACATTGAACATACTATATCTATTAGCAACCTTGCTCTAAGAAGCCGCGCATTTTATCAGATTTCCAGAAATTTCTGAGGCTTTTGTCATTTGACATGATGTCATGGTAATTGAAGCGTGGAATTTTCCAGAACAAATGAAAATAGTATCAGATCCAGTGCAACAGCTGCAACACACAGCCATTATACAATTTACACATGGCCCCGTAGATTGCATTAATTGTCATGTACAATGTACATATTATATAATATCAATACAAGACGTGTAGCTATCTAGATACGACTCTATATTATAATGCGATATGTTAATAACGTTAGCTTTGCTAAAACAGAGTGAATGTTACGTAACCTCCCACTCGGTGGAATTAAATGTGAAATTGATAAAGAGGGCGTGGGCCGCGTGTAGGTTATGTGTGAAATGCAGTTTATATTCAGCCGGATATTTCCATACTTAGTTACGCGTGAATGGCTAAAATATATTTTTCTATGGTTTGTTTTAAATGTTGAAGCGTGATATAAATACTAGAATTTATCTATTTATAATATTAAGTTATTAAGCAGCTCACCTCTCAACAGGGGGTTCATCCCATTCTGATTCACCCCAAGGATCATCCTCCATAGCCAGTGTAGCTGGATCTATGGTCTTAACAATAGCGGATCCAACAACTTGTGGCCCGTCCCCAGGGCCCGTCTGGTTGAGGGGGGTATCATCAGGTTCCGTGTTTAGCTCGGTTGAAACAGGTTCAGGGGACGGGACACTATCTGTAGGGTGGCTGGTGAATACTTCAGGTACCTCCGCATTTGAGGCCTCTGTTTCTACGGATTGTTCATCTTGGGCTGATCTGTTCTGGGCTGGACCTGTAGAGATTTTCAGATTTGTAGAAATGACTGAAAAATGTATTAAAAGAGTAAAGCAGGCTCTAAGACTGTTAAGAATTGAAGCTGTTGATTTGATTTGCTGCTTTTAAAAATTGTACAGAAGGTACAATATGATACATATTATGAACAAATTGTGGCGAAATTTGACAAAGTATAATGGTCAAGCTGAGACAGGCTCGAGAAGTAATACTAATAAAGCGAGCTCATTTACTACATGACTTGAAAGCCAGTGGGTACTGGGTAGTTACATCAAGATTGGAACATAATTACCGTGACTCTTACTCAAGAGTCCGGCCCCAATTCTAAGTTTATGGGTTAAAAAGATAAGAATTTACTAAAAAGATAAGAATTTACTAAAAAGATAAGAATTTACTAAAAAGATAAGAAGTTACCCTGTTCGAACTGTTGTAGTCGTCTCTGTCTGACCTGCTCGGCTCTCTCATCGGCGGTTAGCTCTGGATCTGGTTCTCTGTTATACCAGTAGTTACTCAATCTATTAAACATAGACCTACATGCGACTGTGTGACATATATATTCCCATATTAATATCAAGATTGCGTAGGGTGGCCTCAAAAAGATTTTGCAGGGTGGCCCCAAAAACCGTGTTGATCGAGACCTTCTGTAATAATTTGCAACACAAAGCAACCGTTAAAAGTTACTTATATATTATCATAACGTTACGGATTCTATGAATATGTAGCAATATAGTGCTGTAAAAACATTGACTACGATAATTTATTTCTCCGTAGTTGTAAGAGTCTCAAACGAATGTCCGTATTTTTTGGGGCGGCCCTGTAATTTTATAAGGTTTGCTTCTACAGATCTTGTAAATTTTAGTTTTCATGATCAGCCAGAACCACGCCCGTTGTGACGAAATAGTAAAATGAAGGTAAGAAACGAGACCATGAAACATTTCAATTTTAGACTAGAAAATCAGCAAATTTACACAAATTTTACAATTTTAACAGATCACAACATTATCATTAAGATGACGTCTCGGAAATTTTTACTCATTATATTCATGTTGCGAGTCTCTTAAAACAAAACTAAACTCGCGTTATAAAAGGTCCCGCCTCTTAAATCAGGGGGTATACCCCCCTTAAATCATGTTAACAATCTAACACCCCATCATTATATCCTTCGAAAAAATACCAAGATATTCAGATCTAAATGACTTATGAAAAGAGGTTAAACAATTGATGGGCCTTGAATGAGTGTCACAAATAACACGAACTTTGTGCACGATAGGATCTTTAATTAGAGGTTCCAAAAAGTAATTGACCGTTAATTTAAATCGTTAAATATCATTATGGTAGATCTTTCTAAGTCTAAACTTTCATTAACTCTAACCATATCTATTATCTAAAGCTTTAAAATTGAACCTCCGTTTTTCAACCGATTTCAACATAAACTGCAAATCAGTGCAGTCAAACCTCAATTTACTGGGAAAGAAACAGTGTTCGGTAAATGCAGGGTTTAAATATAGATTTCATTGCACATCCAGAACAATAAAAGACATCTACGAAAAGATTTAGAAACAATATAATCCCAAGTAAAAGATCTAGAAGTCTGAAACTGGGTTCATAATTTCGGTCCCAATTTTTGGTACGATCATCTTTCAAATCTTAAGTCATAAAACTTAATCGGTTTATTATGTTCAAAGGTTGTTACTGTTAGGAAATAAACTGTCAAATAGGAGAATTTGTCAAATAGGAAATGAGGAGTTTGGGGTCCCAAACAGGGACTCAAACAGTATCATAAGGGTCATTGCATGGACGTGCCAGTTGCCCCCGATTGCGCCATGGGGGACACATGCGCAATATTAGGCTGCGATGTAAATTGAGGAGCTGGTTGAGAGTAAACAGGAGGCTGGATATTTTGTTGTCCCGGATAAACAGGATAGTAGCCCGGGTGGGAGCCCTGTGGAGGAGGGTGGTGGGAGCCCTGTGGAGGAGGCTGGTGGGAGCCCTGTGGAGGAGGCTGGTGGGAGCCCTGTGGAGGAGGCTGATGGGAGCCCTGTGGAGGAGGTTGGTGGTAACTAGGAGGTGGAGAAGCTGAGCTATAGTTACCAGGTGGCGGTGGTCCAGGCTGCATGTTATTAGGGTGAGGGTTGAATGCAACATCATACTGGGAGGGACCATTGTACATCTGTGATGTAGGAGGAGCATAATGCCGTTGGTCAGGAGCACCCCCAGCTCCCTGGCCTTGTGGCATGGGAGGAACTGGTTGAGGTTGAACAGGCTGATAAGAATATCTGATAGGCTGAGGGGCTTGTACGGGCTGTACAGGAGGAGCTTCTTTCAGTAATTTGTGGAACAGTCCCACGACACGGGACATGTCGTCATTGATTGACTCCAATTCCTCATGTTTACCCTTCAGCTTGCTATACTCTGCTTCAACAAGAGGCTGTTGTTGGGCGATTGATTCCTCTAACTCGGCGATAAACTTATCCTCTTCCTCATTTGTTACAGTTGCATCAGCCTTCCTCAACATTTCCAACAGCAGATCAATCTGCTGTGGATTCACTTCTGTAACTTTAACGGGCTGAGGTTGAGCGACAGGAGAGGGCTCAGGCGGAGAGTCGAGCTGTTTGGTGACAAAATTAGCGGGGAACATTCCTGCACTGGAGGGCGTTCTTCCTTTCCACCAGTTCTGATCAGAGTTGTCTGTAACTGATACCATATCACCTGCTTTAAATGTAATCTCGTTTTCCTCGGCAGCCTCAAAATCGTAAAGTGCTTTCACCTTGAAGAGCTCCCGGTCTGTGCTCAGAGGTTTATCGGCTGTAAAGGAAGGGTAGAGCGATGAACCTGAAGCTCCACCACCAGACTTACCCTGAGTCTCCTTTAGACTCAACTCTATTGCCTTCTTGATCATGTCTTCTTCACTTTCACAAGCCTGTCTGCTAGAGGAGGTCGGTGGGCCAGGGAGGTTGACTGGGGGAGCATTTGTGGTGTCCGTGGGAAACACTACACCTTCCCCCTTCAAATTCATGACAGTAACACTCAATAAATACAGCTGAGGATCCTCTCCAAAGGCTTTCGACCATTTGACCATCGCCTCTTTTAGATTATTCACTCCCTTAGTGGGAGTACGGTTCTTCTGGAGATACTGTTTAAGGTCATTCAGAATTTCTCTTGTGCATAATTCCAGATGAAATGGTCGCTTACAATTATTCACACAGGCGTCCAATAACGTTACTGCATGTTCAAGAGCCATATGATCAGCGTTTTTGATTTTCTTTACAAGAGCTTTTACCATGAGTTTTGGTCCGTTGGCTGTAGTGTTAACATTGTCGCAAAGATTCATAATAAGTTGCCAGTCGTCATTTTCGGTGCCGATGTCACAGATCTTGTCCACAGCTTCGTCGAACGGACTAGACCTTCCAAAAAGGTTTGGCATCGCAGGAAAGTCTTTTCACGAATCTTGGAACATGCCTAGAAAAATATATTTTATGCGTTTAGATTTCTCAAATTGATTACAAAGAAAATTCCAATTTTCCAGTAAAAATAAGTATCATAATATTATGAGGTACAGTAATTCGAGACTCGACTAGCCTAAAAATTACTTGGTGTATTGCATCAACTTAATACGTATGTGAAACTTGTGGAGAATGAAACTCAATGAAACAGCAGATAATGTTGGTCATTAAACTGAAAACTCAAATAAAAATAATTTTACATAATATTTGTATAATATGAAATGAAAATTCCGTGATTTAAAATTCATAACATTATATAGGGGATTCACCTCGAAATTTTTCAATCCAAATTTTGAAATAGCAGTTGACAAACTGACTGGGGCCTATGAAAGAACTTATGAGGATTGCAGGCCCCAAACACCCACTGGTGTTGTGCGGCTGCCATATGCATTTTAGCCCAATTAAGCAAATTCACCATAATATGCTCCAAACTAAGCTTTTTGGAGTCCTCCTTGTAGGTTCTGCTCTCGTATGTTCGCATTAAAAATATTCTTTGTAGCCCAAAAATTTTAGTCAAATATCAACACTTCTAAGACTAACATTATATGGAAGATTGGTCTAACAAACATACTCTCTATCCACCATCTTTCAATACTTCCACTTTTTTTAAATGAGTTTAGATTCGTAATGTACTTATTGTAACTTTGTAAGGGGAGAATTTCCAATTTTAGACCTTCGAAAGAGTGTTTGGCGTCCTAGTTAATTAGTCAACTGCTATCTAAAATTAAATGTTCACAACAATTACAGAGTGACCCCCTTAATAATATGTTTATGAAGCACACACTTGATCATTAAATAATTAAATCATCACAATACTTACGCGATAAACCTAACCTAGACAGAAAGCAAGAGCATCCGGATAGTTCAGGGTTGAATGCTAGGAATTAAGAAATTAGGACGGAACCCGATCAAAAGTAACTCACATTTTTTCCCAGTTTATCGAGTTTCAAATTAATATCAAAAACAGCGAATGATATATTAATATTACAATTTGGTTTGTATCTAGAGTACTGAAGGCGCGGCGATGAGCCGAGAAAAGGCAAATGCAGCTAAAATGTGTTAATAGAAATTCATAAGGTAAATGCAAATGGTATTCAATGTATTATGAAATTCTAACATGAAATCTCTGAATATGTCTGATGGCACCTTGTAAAGTAAACGTTTAATTGTAAGTTTAACAACCCGGATGAAGCTCCGAATATAACATTTCTAATCACTGCTACCTTTTGAATGGCTTCAGAACGAGTGAACTATCCTTTGTTATATTCGATGTTGAGTAAATAGCTAACCAAGGTATTGAAGAACTATCTATTACAATAGGCTGAATTTCTGTATTAAAATTGTCCCCAATGGGAAAGAATCTTCCAACATTTCCATACTCTGTACAATCTAAGTATATTTCTGCCTTCTTAGTCTCAATAGAACACTGATCTTTTGAAGTTGATGACAATCTTTTTGGTCGCTGAGGAGGTTCCCGTCGCCCCATCATAAGGGAGGGATATGTAGACATTAGTTCCGGGTCTGCTAAGTTCTCTAGGCGCCCATACTTCGATGCTGCTCTCACCCAATATGGATTTTGCTGAACAGACTTCGATAAGTTACGATGCAAGATCCTATTCATAGATTCCAAGTCTGTGGACATGATGAGGTTTGGGTCGTCGTGATAAAACGTGCCACTAGAGTTCGACTTTCGGTTTTCTGCTTTGGTAGCAACCTCCTCGGCTGCGGAAGTTTCTTCTAAATCATCTGTGTAAGAAGCGTGACTCAGAGGGAAGAGGAAGTTTTCATTTTCAGGAACCAACTTCTTTACCACTCCAGTCACTGCACAAATGAAAGTGTTCTTTGGAATGTCGTGAAGAGCTTTGACCCTAAATGATGTGTCATCTTGAATTATTTGAAGTAGTTGTTGGAGTCCCCTTTGTACCACTCGGTTAGCACATCCAATCGAACAAGAACAGTGACTGTTGCACTCAGATCTATCGCCTGACATGGCTTTACAGGGACAAGAACTGATACAAACTCCCTCACAAGTACAGGATATCAAATCCTTGTCAAATTGATTTAGGGAAGAATCATGGATCAGATCAATGACATAATGAAAACTGTATTTGATTATTGGTCCAATGTTACTTATAAATGATACTGAGGCTGATTCTAGCCCATTAGATAGATCATTATCTGAATACAGGGGTTCAAATTCTGGTTTGGAGGTGGATAAATCCAACGAAATTTCGGGGAGAAAACAGAAGTTAGAGGAGTATAAGCTGGTGCATTTGGTGGCTAATAAATGATTTAACACATCACCTTTATCCATACAAACTATACCACAGGGAGAGATGTAGGTTATTTTATTATTTTTGTTTATTCGCTCCCAGCCAAACTGAATGGGATAGCTGAAAGGTGATTCAGCAGATGTTGTACCACTGGAAAATCTGTTGCAAAGAAATGAGCAGGTGTGAGGACTTTGAAATGATGGAAGCAAAATGGGGGACTTTTTGTCATTTGACTCCTCTCCGTCTGAATCATCTAGTTCTCCCTCCTCAAGATCTTCGTCAGTTTTTAACATTCCAACTTTTTGTAAAATTTCGCCAAATTCTGTGTAATAGTCTCGATTTAGCTTTGGATGGTATCTATTCCCAGATGTCCTGCAAGACCAAGGAGCACACCAGCGTGCAATTTTGGCTTCCGAATTTATTTTGATGGGGTCCTTTTTGATCATAAGGAGTGACTTCATGTTCATCTCAACCATTTTAGCCATTTTCTTCTTCTTATCAGCAATAGCCTGCTTAGTATCTTTATTGACATCCTTAGATTGTTGTTTTCTAGCTCTTTTGACACACTTCTGGGCAGCTAAATCCTTTGACGACTCGCTGATAGCTTTCAGATTAATCTTCACTTTAGGAATAGCTATTTTAGGAGACTTGGTAGGAGTAACGATTCTTCTTTTCCTGGATTTAGTAGCATTTATAGGACTGGAAGATTCTTCTTCTACTTTGATCTCAATTTTAAGGGATTCTCTTACTCCTTTCTTCACGGGCTCTATCACTAGTTCCTCTGGAGTTTCTGTTTCCATTGTAACTACTTCAACTGCTGGTGTTAGTGAAATAAAAGCCTCACCATTATTGCTGCTGTGAACGTGAACTTCAATTACGTTACCATTTTGGGTTGATGTCTCCATAGTTGATGTAGCAGTAAAATTATCAAGACAAGCTTCTTGATGCAGAATCATTGGAACATTTCGTGTCGTGCTTTCACTTTTGAAGCTGTCCTTGACTTGAATCTGAGTGGCATCTAGGAGCAAAACCTTATCATTGCTGCTTTCATTTTCAATGACAAGTGGTGGTAAATTGTCGTCATCATCAATTTTAACCACGTCTTCTTTCTTGATCATAGTCTGAACAACAGTTTCTTCGAAAGGAATTTCGTCAGGTGATGGAGCTGTGAAAGTTGGTGGACTAACAGCAGAACTTACAGGTGTGTTGAGTATTGTATCAGCAAAATCAAACTCAACGTCATGGTCAAGGTTCAATTTTGGACTCAAATCGAGGCGACGTCTTGTCCCTGACTCCTCAGAGGCAGACCAAGAAAATACTGAAGCTGGTTTGTAAGCATGCGGGGACAGTGATACCGATGAAGGGGACATGAAATTCTCATTATAAGGTTTAGATGGGGATTGGTTGCTACTAGCACTGCTTGGGAAACTGGGAACTGGAGGCTTTGGGCTTGAATAGGGAGGAGGATCCTTGGAGGGACTTTCATCCAAAATGAGTATAGGTGATTGTGGCTGGGGAGCTACAGCACCATGCTTGGGAGAGAACATCTGATTTCCGTAGGTCGTGTTGCGACTGGATGTATTATTGGAAACTGGCCATGAATTAACAGTGTTGTATTTAGCTGATTTTGATACAGATGGCATAGCGCTCTCATCTTCAGAAAACATGAAAGGATCAAGACTTGGAGGAACCATATAGGGTTTTCCTTTCAAAGGAGATTTGATAAACATTTGCTGATCTTGAGTCTGATCAGTATCAAAATTATTGCTAGGGCTGATTTTGCATCTGTTTAGCTGCTCCATTGTGCTTTGGTATATCACCAGCTGTGGAGTAATACTGATTATGCCCATATGACAAGATTCGAGTTGATCCTCTGTGAATCCACTCTTCTGCAAGACCACCACTTGGTATACTGTACCTTATGAGAGCAATGCTACAATCCACCTCTACAATTTTGCCAGAAAACTGTAAATTCGTATTATCAAAATTGGTAAAGTTCACTGAATCATTCGGATTCAAATTTATAAGTTTCACTGTTGATCCAGTCATGGTGAAATAACGCTGAATGAAAGACTTGTATGGAGGTGGCAACATCAAAATAGGGTTCTCATTTAGATTGATAACCCACAGCTTATCTTTGGTCTTGTAACAGGCTGATCCATCATCAAGAAATAATAGATACCTAAAAACATTTTCCACTGATGGAAGTTCAGCAACCAGTGAAGATATGTACATGGATTTGGTAGGATGTTGCACAACTACTCTGCTACCAATTTCAATGTTCTGATTATTAGACTGCTGACTGAGTACCTGACTAGATGCAACAGAACGTATTTCACCAGATCGAAAGAGGACCTGATAGATAAGAGATCCGCTACGGGTAAGATTGTAACTCTGTACAACTCCAAAATACCATGCATAGTCTTGATAATAAGCTAATACAGTTGTTCCACTAGGAATTATGGTGAGGGGAGGGGTTGCTGTAGTCTGTCCAAGGTTTGTGTTCACAGACAAACTGGAAGGGTATGGGGTAACATTTACAGGTGGTCGTGGATAGTGTGGATAAGACATCACTCTGCATTCCTGCTAAAAGAAAGTGAGGTTAATTTATAATGAAACTAATTTAATGTTAAATTAAATTTGAAATTCAATCAACACTACAAAATATCATATTATTTCTATTCAAGATAACTGTAAACTATGCATTATAAAGCAACATTTGAAGCTAAGCATCCACTTGCTGCTACTCTGGGAACAAACCCTGGAGGCTTTATTGGACAGAAATATAATTGCAATACACTACTATTTTATAACAGATTATTTGTACTAATAAATCAAAAGTTTTTAATAAACAATAGAGCAATATTATATATCTACTAGTATACTAATTTGAGTTTCAAATTATGAATACAAACTTGTTTGTCATAACTCATAACATCTACTTCCCTTTTTATTTTCATCACTGTGCAGAAATTACACTTTCGCAGAAATAACATTTTTACTTTTGTTGCCTAAGTTTAGCATGGTTTATTTCTAACTTGCAGTGGTGTAACGTAACGTTGCCTGTTGGCGCCCCCCCCCACCCCCCTGCTGAAAAAGCGCCCCCTGTTGGCCCCCTCCCCTTTCGGCGCCCCTCCCTAAATTTGAACAAATTAGATTATTTTAGAGGATAGGCCTTTAAAATCTCTAAAGCAATTAAATTGTCTGAAACCCGGGCACCAAATAGATAACTGTTTCAATTCAAAAATAAAATATAGATGTGGATATTTCTGGCTGATAATCTTGTAGTACGGTCAAATACCCTTGCCAGAGGTGGCTCTTGGGAGCTGGCTGGCAGTTGTGTTGGGTGTCCAATCGACGGACTCAGGGGGCTTGGGGATGCTGACGGCTATTCGCCGATGACTGCATACAATACCACAGCAGAAAGTTAATTAACTAAATTATTCTAACGTACATTACAGTTACACACAGGGCCTCATGTATGTAATGTGTGACAGGCGACAGCAAACAAAAACGGAAACTTATAAAATTGGTGAAATAGGACACCGCATGTGATAACAAGTTAGCAGTTGATAGTTCAAATTGCAAGGTGTCCTGGACAACCTAGGACAACCTGATCATATAGATTAACAGTACGTTGATGCAATGATGTGCTTTGTACCCGTTTGCAATTAACTGTGTGTTAAAACTGCGAGGCTTAGTTGTCCAAATGAGGATTGGACACCCAACAACACGATTGATCATGTTTTGAGATAATGCATAAAAACCTATTTATGGAAATTATTAGTTAGGATAGGCATTTGAATTTGATTTCTATGTATCCTAAATGGAAAGAATGACTGGCCTACACTCTGAAAATGTTCCTGAAGCTTTTCAATTAATTGGGGTAATTGATTTAATTTTGACATAGGCCCATTTAAAACAACAGTCGATACATGGGCCCCTCTTAATTAATTGAAACATCTTACATGTGAGAATCGGTACAGGGCGTATACATGTACATAGGTCCTTTTAACTTTTCAAATTTATTTCTTTAAACATCACATTCCAACAATTTGTTAGGGCATTTAATGTTGACTTGGGCCCTTTCTACTTTTCAAAAACATCATCAAAAACATCACATTCCAACAATTTGTTTATTGATTGAAATAAATTTTCGTGCACATACAGAATGAATGGTTAATAATTTAATATATATGTAGACCAAGGTCTGTGCACTGGATGCTTCCTGGAAGAATCCAGTTCTTTTAGCGGGGCACCCTACCTAAAGCCAAATTGAGATATAATAATCATATTCCTAAGAAATAATCAGAAATCGAATAATATGATATATATAGGAGTAGTAACCATATTTACTATGCAAAATGCCCCAACCACATAGTGTAAATTTATATAGAATTCAAATTCCATATCATCATTAAACCTCAATAGTCAATATAATAGCCCAAGCAAAATTAAATAACAATTTGGGACAATTTTGAAAAATTTAACTGAGGTACTAGCAAAACTGTGCGTTTTTCTATAGAAACATACAGGGTGGGCCAAAAGTCAGTACCCATACGTTGGGTCTTATACCTCCGCCGTGTTTTATATTTGAGAGTTGTTGCTTTACAGATGGCATACTGTACCTACTTGTTCGAGGATTTCGACACCAAAATTTGAAAATTTGATTTTTGGGGGCCACACCCAATCAACATTGAATTGCTTATACTGGTGTTTGTGAACATGTTAGAGACTCCGTTGTAACATATTGCAATAGGTCATTTAATCCGGAATATGATATGAAAGATGGTGCGAAACGGATTTAAAATGACGAAGTTATCAAGCAATTTGTTTATCTTGTTAGCAAAATTGATTGGGTACTCAATGATTACCCAATTACGGCACCGTGATTGGGCTCTGTACACGATTCCCATAATGCGGATCTAGCCTCAACCCAATTACCTGATCACACGTAATGAACAAACTCGTTATGCTTCATATCTCGGTCATCTGAGAAGCTAGAACTCTCATTTTTTCAGGACAAACGTAATTTATATATGGCCAAACACTATTCAATAAAATTTGGCTTGATCCAACTATCCAAACTATCAAATAAATGCAAAAATGAACCTTCATTAGAAAAAAATGAACACGAATATTTTTCGATTTGACAAATTCCTCGAACCAGTGGTGGTATGGTAGTAAGTCATACCAGAAAAAATTATTTCAATTGGGCACTCAGTGATTGAGCTACAAAGGCCAACATATGGGTACTGACTTTTGGCCCACCCTGTACTTTTTAAGAGATTTTACCGGGGTATCCTCTAAAATCACCCAATTTGTTCAATTTTAGGGAGGGGCGCCAAAAGGGGAGGGGGCGCCAACAGGGGGGCACATTTTTGGCGGGATGCGCCAACAGGCGACTATACGCCGCTGGCAAGGGCGACCGCCCACCAGATAATAATTTTAGGGCGTCCACGCCTGGACACCCTCAATAGCTGCCTCTGACCCTTGCCTTCGGTTGCTATCCAGAATTTGTAACTAATTTCTGCCGAGGAGAAACCACCAATAAACCACTAATATAAATCCAAACGGATTGATACAGGGTGGCCCATAAAACACTACCCACTTTCTTGAAAAATTGTTGTTTTCTTGATTTAAAAATAATTTGCAAGATCTCAGCGACCCGTAACAATTTTAAGAGATAAGGATGGGTAGTGTTTTATGGGCCACCCTGTACAAAAACCGAATTCAATAACTATTTTTTATTAAACTCTTGTGAACTCACCGTTCGGGGTATCCGTAACTATACAAAATCTCCAGCTGAGGAGGACAAAATTGGCAAAAACTCCTATGAATTTATATTAAGCTTCAATCGAATAATGGCTTTAAAAAGGGTCTCCTTAAATTATGTAACTAATGACCACAGTGGAATACTGATGCCTAATGAAGTTAGCACAATCTGTGATGTAATGTGCTCTCGCAATCACATAACTTGGTGTGAACAAACACCTTTAATTTAGGAAAAGCATATATTTATAAAATTTCAATAAATAAGACCTAGACCGGACCTAAACAGAGATATTACACGGATGTGTAATTTTGCATAGATCCAATGAATCCTTAGCTACTCCCTAGACAAGTTACAAGGTAACACTGGGATTCGAACCCTGGACCTTCAGCTCTAACCACTAGGCCACCTAGCTTCCTTTAAGCATGCAATAGACATATATAATTCAATGTGAAAACGAGGCCTGTAGGTTGGATGGGACTGTATAGGAACATCTAATTGGAGCATAAATGCAGTTAATAACAAATGTGTACTGTAGCTGTATTTTTAGGGGATTCTACGGAATTGATGATCATTTGCCAAAGTGCACAGGTAAATGCAAAATGTGTTGCTGCTTATTGTATATTTTAGTCGATAAGCATGATTTATCTGTCAAACAAAAAACTTTCAGGACAACGAATGAATGCAACTACACCATCAACTAGGTCATGAAATATTCTTGAACATCTACAAAATTCCGTACTCTCTCAAAAGCATTGCTGCTAACATGTTGAAGGATCAGTCGTACTGTGAAACCACAAGAAATAAATGTACCTTACCGGCTGAGTCTGTTACTAGAGGTGATCATGTCTTCACGGCGAGTTCATGTTCATGCACGGTTAAGTTTACTGATTGCACATAGCACATTGCACATAGCACATAGCACATAGCACATAGCACATTGCACATTGCACATAGCACATAGCACATTGCACATTGCACATAGCACATTGCACATTGCACATTGCACATTGCACATTGCACATTATAAGCTTCGCGAGACACAATTCAGTCAATCAGAGGACAAAAATCTGTAAAGTTAAAGTCGCGCACATTTATTGTTTATTTGACCCAAAATTGAAATTAAGACTTTTCGGAATAAATCAAAATTTAACGGGTGATACTCGTAAAATATCTGTTCCATATATTGGAACAGGACCGTCGACGAGTCCAACTCGGCGCGCGTCCTGGTAGGTTGTAAACCTACAAATCAAAATATACAAGGTTCCCAATTTTGCTCCTGGTATTCACATAGCCATGAGTCTACGTGTACTGCGGTTGCGCACTACTGCAAGCGAGAGGGCTCCTGGTATATATATATAGTAGTGAGCTAACGCTATTTGTATTTTTACGAGACACAAATTTTGCTAAAAACCGGACGTCGATATTTATTTTATTTTCGAAGATAGACTAGAATAATAAAATAATAAAATATAATATAATACATAAATACAAGGAAGCATTTATGATTTACAAGTAAATTAAACTTAAATAATCTTCGGCACCTATAAAAATGAAACAATGGGAATTGGGATACACGCATACTATACAGCATACACAATACAGTGGCTTAACGTAGCCTGTTGGCGCCCCGCCGAAAAGCACCACCTATTACAGTATTACATGTTGGCGCGCTCCTCCCCTTTTCAAATGACGATGTGGCGACTCCTAAAAATTGACGGATGTTACTCGTCTAAATTTTTTTTGACGGATGTTCAATGTTACTCGTCTTAATTTTTTCGAAGTAGCGCGCGCCGGGCCAAATCATTAACAATGGTCAAAATTTTTTGCGCATCGCTTTCTTCCCTAGCACCGATGCCAGATGCAAGTGCTACGAAGAAGCGCGCGCCGGGTTAGTTCATTAACAATGGACAATCTTGGGTTGTACTGCATACTGGATGTAACAAGTTTATTATCGGATGTCTACGTATATTTATTATGATATAATTATTCATTGTAATGGCAATAAAATTTAAATTTTGTTTTACTTAAATTTTGTTTTACTAATTCCAAATAAGACAGCTAGTTGACTAGTTTAAATTTGTTTCATGTCACGTTGTAGGCCCGCCGCGCGCACGTTACTGGGCGGCGCTCAGCCTGTCATTCCGCCGAATCTCTATTTGGGCTGAGTGAATTACTACCTCCATCGCCCTGAAAAAAGTGCGAATGCTCATTGGATGTTAGAGCGCACGTGACCAGCATTCACGTGATCGTTCAGAACCAATTACAGACGCGCAAAAGATCACGTGCACGCCAACTACCAAATCGGAGAGCTACAATAAGAAATGCGATATTGGAACAGAATTCTGCGTGATGGGCAACATAGCGGTAGCCGTGGTTGACCATTGTTAATGATTTGGCCCGGCGCGCGCTACTTCGTAGCACTTGCCATCGGGCCAAACATTTGGAGAAGAAGGCGGCGCGCGCTACCTCGAAGAAATTTAGACGAGTAACATCCGTCAATAGCCGTGGGAGAAGAAAATTTTGAGATGGAATATTTCAAAGATTGTGGCAGTGGTCCTTTTAAAGATTGTGACGCATTGGAGGAAAAAATAAACCACCTGAGTTCTTTTCTTTTGAAGCAGGCTCCATAAAGAGAAATTCTTGTAACATTAAAAATTAAGACCTGTGATGAAGATCTTTGTAATACCATGACTGCTGCTCAAATCAAAGATTACGGCCATGGGCCGTTAATCTGTAAAAAATGCTCCGGTACAATCTTGAAAATGCCAAAATACTACAGATTCCTTCAGCAGAGGATCTTAAATGAGTCGATAAAACATGAACGTCTGATGAAGATGTTTTTGCTTACGGATACGCTACTGTTTGTAGGTTTACAACCTACCACTACCAGGACGCGCGCCGAGTTGGACAGATATTTTAATTTTACGAGTATCACCCGTTAAGCTATTACTGGGCCGCGCTCAGCCTGTCATTCCGCCAAATCTTTAATGAACATAATAGCCTGGGGTCCTCAGGTAATTAAGCTACTGTGTACGGTCGGCTTCACAGGTCCTTTCTCTATAATATAACTGGAGAGGCAAATGCGCCGGAGATAGAGATGGAAATCCTCATGGACTGGTTCGCAGATTGTGGAAAGAAAGCTGTAACCGATTGTCACAATATAACAGATATTGTGACCATGATAAATACTGGTGGTGACGACCATATAACAGATATTATGACCATGATAAATACTGGTGGTTACGATAGCAAAATAACTGTATCCAAGTGTAACATCATCTCCTGTGAAACAGATAATTTCAACAACTTCACACGCAAAGAGATAAACCCAGACCATCTGAAAGATGTTTCCTGCTACACCTGTAAAAATAGCACTGTTGATGGAGAACCTAATCCTGATGATATTGACCAGCCAGAATGCTCAGTGAGCCACAAGGTTAAGTGTCCTTATGGAACAGAGTTCTGTTTGTCAGGTAACATGGTGGTGACCGTGAAAGAACAGAAATTGGATTTGGAGTTTATCAAAGAATGCGGCAGTGGTCCGATGAGTTGTGAAGCATACAACTTGCAACTGACAACGAAACGTTAAAAGAAGAATTATCGGCCATAAGTGAGACAGCCTCCATGAATATGCTTACATCTTGTGACATCAATGTTTGAGAAAGGAAATCTCTGCAACACTATGACTGCCGCTGAGGTTAAAGAAGTTTCATGTTACACTTACCGTAAGACCACTGTTGATGGAAAACCTGACCCTGATTATCCTGACCAGCCAGTATGTTCGAAGAGCTACCAGGAGAAACGCGAATTAGGATCAGATTCCTGTGTTGAAGGCAACATGACGGTGACCATCGGGGATCAAATACGGAAGACGGAATATTTTAAAGGTTGTGGCAGTGGTCCTTTTAGGAGTTGTAAGGCATTTAAAGAAACGATAAATCAATCTGCATCACTTTTTCCTGAGGACGCCAACATGACGGCCTACACGAATTCTTGTAACATTATTACCTGCGAAGGAAATCTCTGTAACACTAACAGTAACAGTAACACCATGACAACTCATGTTTTGAGCTGCTTCTTGGCTTCCGTGCTCGTCTACTTCTGGGTTTAGGGACTTCAGCTTTTAAAACAGTCTGTACTTGATAGATACTTAAGATTCTATGATCTTAGCATAGCAGAATAACTAGAATAACGTTTTAGGACTCTTCCGAAACTGAATCCCTAACAAAAAATGGTTATTGCTTTTAAAGTTTAGCCTAGCAGTATAATTATATTAGGAGGTGCACGATAAAAATAAACTTGCTCGGATTTAAAAAATTTTTGTACCACTGTTTTCTAGAGACTGTGAGAATTTTCACAATACCAAATTTGTCATACCTTTTTGGAAAGATCAGTGAGTTTCGCCTAGGTGCCATATTTGATGGTGCGCGGCTTTTGGAGCAAAAGTAGCTGTAAAAGTCGCGTAATTTGACCAAATTTGACCAAATTTGACCATTTTTGTCGTATTATTCGGATTTATCTTCAGTTCCTTAAATGAGATCATTCTGGAAATTGGCGACGACCTTCCAATAGGGCTTTCACAACTGTCCGAAAAATTTGGTGGATATCGGAGTTGATTTAGTGATCAAAATGGGGCAAAATACGCTGCTTTTAGCTGTAACATAATGTCTGATGGTTGGATATGCTTTAAATTTTTCGGACACTTTCCTTGTGCTTGTAAGTCTATGAATAAGCTTACCAATTTTTGTTGCAATTGGAGGTCGGGAAGGATACTTAATATCTATTTGTTTGAAGAAAATTGTGCTGGCCGAAATTAGCGCTAAAAAACCATCTTACAGTCGGCACGCGCGGCTTACTGTCGATGGCGCACTACCTAATTATATATAGTAGCAAATCAACACTGCTTTGCAATTTTTAGACTTTTCGAGAAAAATCTTTTTTTTATGTTAGAAGTCAAATAGATCATGTCACATATCATTCCTGAAAGCCTGCCGTGATCACTCACTCATCCCTAAGGGACTCAGACTCACCAACCCACTATCCACCAAACGCTCAACTGAAGTCCTCACTCACGCATCTAACCTCCTCATCACTGAAAGACTCAACCACTATCGCCTCAAATATGCACAACACAAACGCACTTATGAGCACAACCTCAGACACATAGAATCACTCATAACCCCTCAATATTTTCAGAAACTAGGACACCTCAACACCAAAAAATCCTCATACACCCACAGAAAACAACTCCTTACTCACCAAAAGAAGTTCGCGGTACTACTCTCAGAATACGACACCCCGTTCCTCTCACCCTACGACACTCTTAAAACGCTCGACATACCCTCTCCCACATTTCATGGTCCCCTCCTCAAGACCTCACCTACCCCCAAGAAAGACACCACAGCCAAAACAGTGATCAACCTCTCTGGACAGACCCTCTCCACAGCTGAAACTGACGTCCTCTCCCTTGGACTGAAGTTCGTCCCGACACCCACCTCAGATCCTACCCCCGACCTGGCTCCCCTCATACAGAATATCACTAAACAACTAGGAGAAGGCATGGAAGCCTCAGCCACATATCAGGTCACCTCTGTATTATCTAAATTTGACAATAAACGTGACATGACCACCGACAATTTGACTCCACAACAACGTACCGCTCTTAAATCTTTAAAATCTAAGAAATCTGAATTGAAATTTCTTCCTGCTGATAAGGGCAACGCCACTGTTGTACTGACTCACGATCAATACATAACCAAAGTTACCGACCACTTATCCTCAGGTAGTTACACCCTCTTAACGAAAGACCCCACTCAATCCGTTACCACTAAACTACAGAAAGTCCTCAAGAAACTACACACCGACAAGAAGATCACGACCGACCTATACCACAAGATGCGCAACCTACATCCTAGATGGCCTCAACTTTACGGACAACCTAAGATACACAAACCCGGCGCACCTATCCGTCCCGTAGTCAGCTTCTACAACACCCCCCTCCAAGCCCTCCACAAAGTCCTCGCATCTTTCCTCAAACCCCTAGCCCAGAACCCCTTACGCCTCAAAGACTCTTCCGACTTCAAACATCGCTTCGACTCCTCTCTCAATCCCTCCTTCCACTACCACGCCTCCTTAGACGTCCAATCCTTGTACACCTCCTGTGACATGCGCCTAGCCCTCAAAACTGTCATCTCCTCCTTTGAACAGAACCCCTCTCGTCTTCCCTCCAATGTCACCACCACCACCATAGGCTCCCTTATCAACTTTTGCCTTGACAACTCATACCTTGAATTCAACGGCTCCTTCTACTCCCAAGACGAAGGTGGTACAATGGGATCCCCCCTCATTGTTGAACTAGCTGAAATCCGTCTTGCTGAAATCGAGACCTTAGCTTTATCCTCATGTCCTGACCCTCCGAACACTTACTCCCATTTCGTTGACGACGGCCTTGGATCTTTCAGAGACAGAAACCACGCAGAATCCTTCCTTACATTCCTTAACTCCCTTACTGAAGACCTCAACTTTACCCAAGAACATCCCTCTACAGACGGAACTATACCCTTCCTTGACGTTCTCATCCACCCTGACAAATCCACATCAGTCTACAGAAAACCCACCCACACCAACCTCTACACCAAGTACTCCTCCTGCACCACCAACTCATCTAAGAACGCAGTCATCCGATCACTGACCAGAAGAGCCCACAACATCTGCTCACCCCAACACCTTGACGACGAACTCCAGACAGTACGACACGTTTGCCTCCAGAACGGCTTCCCTCCTCACCGCATCACCACCATCATGGACGAAGTACAACGGAAATTCACCAACCCCTCTCGCCACCAATCCCTAGCCTCATTCAACCGACAGACCCGTGAACATGCCCTTAGTGTTTCTCTTCCTTTCCATCCCTCCCTATCCAAACCCATCTCCAAGATACTCGGACAACACGACATCAAAGTCACCCACTCCTCTGCTACCTCCCTCCGCAACCTCCTCACCAAAACGAAGACCACACCCCCTACTCACCTCACTCCCAACACCATCTACGAAATTTCCTGCTCACAGTGCCCCTCCAAATACGCCGGACAGACCTACAGACCCTTGGTCCACCGCATGAAAGAACACGAACGATGTTACAGACTCAACAACGCCATCGACGAATCCACAGACAGAATCAAATCAGCCCCTGCACATCATGCCCTGACCACCGGCCACACCATCTCCTGGAACAACATCGAAGTCCTCAAATCCCTCACCTCACGCTCCCAACTTGACCTCACAGAACACGCAGCTATACAAATACGACAACCAGCTATGAACAGAACAGACCGCGCACCCAAATGTAGTTCCCTCTGGGACCCCATTCTTCCTAAAATTGCCAAATCCTTAAAGTCCAGACCATCTGGCATTTCCTTCTCAACCTCAACAGAAGACTAAATTTTTATTGACATTGTACTGTAATTTTCACTTTCCCACCCACACCTCCCCCACCCTCCATCCCTGACACCACTCAATCACATATAAGCATTGTCCACCACATCACATTCAGCTGACGACGATTAACACATGTTTATTGAAAGCTTCTACAAGTTAAATCATCGTATCTCTTATATGTTTTTAACCCAACTCCACTCAGTTTCAAATAGATCACGTTCAAAATGTTGTATGTTATGATAAAGTTATAACTAGTGTGAACGCGAACGTTACTTCAAAATATAATTAAATCTATATTACTTGTTTAAGTTGTGTTATATATTTACAATTTTGAATCTACTTGTGTATTCGTTAATGGATGTAGTTTAAATATAATCGTTAAATGTCGTTTAATTTATTCGTAGACCAGAAGACCATTTAAGGCCCGTTTATTTTTATCGTGCACCCCCTAGTAACGACGCGGTCCTGCAGAAACAAATACAAAATATTTTAAGAGTATCACCCGTTAAGTTTATAACCTACCAGGACGCGCCGAGTTGGACTCGTCGACGATCCTGATATTTAATTTTAACGGGTGATAGTTGATACTCGTAAAAAATTCCAAATATTACCGAGTTTCACCCGTTAACTATGAACTACGTAGTAGCGCGCACCGGGCTAGTCCATGCATTAACACGAGCGTTGAGCGTGCTAAATCACTCTACAGCATACAGTCGATCTTCGAGATTGTTCTAAAAGGGCCCCTACAGTTGAAACCAACTTCAAACTTGGATCGATGTATTTTCGGACGCTGATTCCGAATAACCCCCATGACATAGGGTTAAAATGCTCCCCTAGCGAGATATTGGCGAAAAACTGTCTCGATCACGTGATATGACCGTATAAAGAAGTTAGTCTAATTTCTCGTTAGGGTTAGGGTTTCAGCATATATGCTTTTGTTAGGGATTGGGTTAGGGTTAGGGTTGGGATCAGATAAGAGGGTTAGGGTTTCGAATAGTCGTTCAGGGCCAGCTATAGAGAACGGGTTTAAAAGTCACGTGACAGTCTAGTCGAGTGTAGAGTGATTAATCATCATCCCATCGCACTACAAATTTGGGTGACAAAATGATCAATTTAACCACTTACCACCGACCGATTTAAAAAACCTTTATCGTTTGGCTTCGTCAGTTTTCTCGGTACTATACCGAAAAAACCAGTCCCGTAACTCTTACAGTTACCGTTTTCTTGATTAAACCGTTCGGAAATTACCCACAGACAGACATACACACATTCTGGGATTACTACTTACTAGTATAAGAGAGTGAGTAATGAGTATAATGGCAACGGTCGTGCTTGCCAGCACTTACTGGGCCGCGCTCAGCCTGTCATTCCGCCAAATCTTTATTTTGTTAATGAACATAATAGCCTGGGGTCCTCAGGTAAGCCAGCACTAGCAGTGGCACTGTGATATGTGAACAACCCCTAATATAAAATGTATCTGTGATCTGGGAATGAAAGTATCGCTACACTCGTAATTCCGTTTGGCGTTACTTAGGGATCGTTCACATATTACGTAATCAGCTGAGGGGGAGGGGGTTTCCGAATGATTACGCTAGTGTAATTTTGACACGATAGCCATGTGTAAAACTGATTACGGAGGGGGGGGGGGGGGGGAAAAATGTTCCAAAAAATGATTACGTAATATGTGAACGACCCCTTATTAATATAATGATCTTCCCTAAAATACAACGTCATATATGAATGACCCCTTTTGTTAATATTTATATCTATAACTCGCTATAACTTACTCAGGCTATCATGTTCATAAACAGGCTAATAGAGATTAGGCGGAATGACAGGCTGAGAGCGGCCCAGTAAGCTATAAGTATAACTGATAACCAGAGCCCTCTCGCTTGCAGTAGCGACCGTTGTGAAACAAGCGCGTCACGCAGTACGCGTAGACACATGGCTATGTGAAATCTATAACATTGGATGCAAACACAAAACAGTAAAATATGAAATACAGCTTTACTACTCGCAATAAATGAGATTGCATTTATCGCCGCACGTGAAGTAGTTTGTTACCACGGTAACGCGGCACGCGCGCGTACATGTTCAACCTAACACTACGTTGTATTATAGTTTGTTGCCATTCGCACACACCTTATAAACAATCTACAGTCAATGGGTCAAAGATTGGTATAACTTATTGAAGAATTGATTTGTTTTCATTTCTGAGGTAAAACTGACGTCCACCAAGAGCAGTCCGCATGACTCACCTTCCATAAAGGTAGCAAAATGTGCAATGACAGAAGGCCTTGTTTCCAAAGATTCGCTTGATCACATTTTGCATGATTACCCAGTTACAAATGAAGATAATGTTTCGAAGCGATACAACTTTTTCTATGACTTGGGGAGTGGAGCCTATGCCACGGTCAAATATGCAACTTGCTCTAAAACCAACAAGGCCTATGCGGTAAAGATAATCTCCAAGACAAAGACTCCGAGGGAATATCTAAGGAAATTCGTTCCACGAGAGGTAGACGCTTTGAAAAGATTATCAGTGTATGAGCATCCCCATATTTCACAAATGAGAGAGTTTTTTGAGACATCAAGAAGGGTTTACCTAGTGACAAAATTAGCGATGGGAGGTGATTTGTTGACGTACATTAACTCCAGGAAGTGTCTTAACGAAGATACGTCACGGAAAATGATTGCGGAACTCTTGTGCGCTCTAGATCACATTCACGATTTAGGAATTGTACACAGAGATCTGAAATGTGAAAACCTTCTCATAGGTCAGAATGACAGTCTGGTAGTCTCAGATTTTGGATTTGCTACACAGCAGCCAAGGAACAGACTACTGACGACGTTTTGTGGTTCCTACGCGTATGCAGCTCCGGAGATACTGTCAGGGAGTTCGTACAATGGCAAGTGTACAGACGTTTGGAGTGTAGGGGTTATTCTTTACGCTATGCTAAATGGAAAATTGCCTTTTAACGACACTAAACCGAAGAACATACTAGTCAAAATCAGGACAACACCTCTGACTATGATTCGTAGAGTATCTGTGGCTTGCGAGAATTTTGTAAGAATCATCTTGACCATAAGCTCCATGGAAAGGCCGAATGTTGGGGAACTCCTCCTAAAAGCATGGGTCGAGCCACCTCTCAAGAAAATCTTGAAAACATTGCCGGACAAGCTTCATCCATCATGCTTCAAATTATCACTTCCTCACAAGAATTCCTTTAGAATGTCGGATTCCTCAGATGAATGTATGAAGGTATTCTCCCCTCGCCAGGTTCAAGACACCACCTCACCAATGCTTCCAGTTTCACTTAAAATCGCCAATGAGTTCATCGCTGAAAACACTTCCCATAAGACTACCTCTACCATATCGGAACGAGTGAAACAGAAGTGTAGGCAGGTAAAAACAGACTTGAAAACATGGGCTTCAAGAAAGAGGAAGAGCGTGGTGAGCCCAAGGTTCGCCAACATCGAGGGGGGAGGCAGGATAGTGAAACCAACAACAGGAAAACTTATGAGGATTTCTCAGCCAAAATCGGATACTGCAGAACCTGAAAGTCTCTTAAACCGACAGAAATATGCTGTGCCTGAATCAAACCAATCTCTCCCCAATTCGAAAACTATAGGCTCACAGTTACAAAAACAAGAAACGCAACTGACAAGACTAAAATATACAGTGGTCGATTCCAAACAATTCCCGGCAGGCACGGTTAGTTCATTAACTAGGCTTTAGTTTTACTGTTAAAATAATTCAAGTTAAAAAGTGTGGACAGGGGCCATGAGATTTCTTTAGGAGGGGGGAGGGGTGGAGGCGGTACCAAAGAACCTATTCGGTTTATTATTTGCCCCCAACAAATCATAAAATCAAAAAAACTTGGTAAATTAAATATGAAACTTAATAGTGGACTCACTAGATTCGAAGAGAGCCAGATGCCGGTGTATATGTTCAAGAACGCAGAGGGGACGGGGTCCACCGTCTTATGCTTATAGTCTATGGATATTGACTCATTGAGGTGTAGGGTTGGAGAGCCCGAATTTGCAAAAATGGCGTTTCCGTAAATTTGTGATCCTTAATAAATCTTTTAACAGGTAGATTTTAAGAAGATGAGAGGCAGTAAAGACGACCGATCAGTAAGTGCTGTTCCTCCCTCCACCGTCACGGTATTTGAAAAGAGGAGGTCTGCGGAAAACAGAGCCAAGTCCTGTAATCCGGAAACCAAGCTCGTTACCACAGCTGGTAGTAAGCCTAGTACTGGACAATCCAGCGGCAGCTCTCTCACTAAGAACAATAACCGAGACACAAGGAAAGAGACTAAAAGATACGCTGGTGAGTGTGTTTGTATGATCTTGAAGTTTAAACCAAAACTTAGTCACAAATCAGTCCTGATAATTTCGACAAATCTACATTTTCATTCTAAAATGTCTACTTCAGGAACAGACTCTGCGTCGATAAACAAACAGATCCTGAACTATTTGAGTCAACAACGAGAAAACGGTTCTTACAAACGGCAATTTGTGAAGCCCACCAATCTTGGACTTCCACCATTGCAGCAAGTCCAAGTTCAAGCACAGGGCACTGACCAAAAAATTAAAGGAAGAAGGCGATCATCCACAAATAGTACTAGAACAAGAACATCCACTACTAGTGCAAACAAAGACAGCAGAGTCAAGGAAAAGACGACCACTTACGACAAAGCCAAACTTTACCAAAACATCCAGAGTACTATCAACAACAAGTACGATGGTACTTCTTCTAATAGAGGAAAATCGGTGGTGACCCCGACGACAGTTGTCGCTGTGCACCCTAAAACTGGACAACCAATCTATAGTCACGGATTTAGACGTAATTCTAACCCTTCTCAACAGAGACGATCACTTGGCGGTCCAAATGACCTCTCTACAGTATATCATTAATTCTTATCCTACTTAAGTTTAGGTTCCTGATAAGTTAACGTGTAATGGTCGTGTCCAAAAATTTATTTTCAAAATTATGCTAAAACATGAAAATTTGGCAAAATTACAATGTGAAAATAAACTACAAACTCGAAAAATACTCAAAAAAAACTATACTCACAATGAACATAAACTTAATAAAACAACATAACAAAACTGCAAACTTGAATTTCAAAAAATCAGCTATACAATATAGTATATATAGTATGTCCACTGACTTTTGGCCCACCCTGTATAGTGTATATATACACTATACAGGGTGGGCCAAAAGTCAGTGGACATACGTTGGCCTTAATACTAATAGCTCCGCCGTGTTTTATATTTGAGAGCTGTTCCTTTGCAGATGGCATACTGTACTTACTGGTTCGAGGATTCCGTCGTCAAAATTTGGAAATTCGAATATTTTAGACCACGCCCATTCAATATTAAAACACCTATGTTGTTTTCTCTGAACATGCTAAACGCCTAATTTTTTCAGAGACGTAGATTATTAAATGTTGCATATGATCTGAAAACATGAGGCAGAACGGAATAGAAATGACGAAGTTATCAAGCATTTTCTGTATTTCGTTAACAAAATTGACTGGGTGATTATGTGACACCGTGACACGACACCTTAATTGGGCACCCTTAACAATTCCCATAATGTTTAACGGGGTGGTTAACGCGGTCACCTAATCACTTGATTAGGTAAACAAATCACCTGATCACACGTAATGAATAAACTCCTTATGCTTCATATCTCGGGCATCTGAGAAGCTACAGTTCTAATTTTTTCAGGAAAAACGTAATTCGAATGGCCAAACACAATTCAATAAAATTTAGCTCGATCCGACTATCCAAACTATCAAATAAATGCAAAAATGAACCTTCATTCGAAAAAAATGAACTTGAATATTTTTCTATTTGACAAATTCCTCGAACCAGTGGTGGTAATAAGTCATACCAGAAAGAATTATTTTAATTGGGCACTCAGTAACTGAGCTTTTAGTATTAAGGCCAACGTATGTCCACTGACTTTTGGCCCACCCTGTATAAATTCGTTCATAACTTTATAGATCTATACAATTACTGTCAACTCAGTCTAGGATGGTCATCATCACCATATCGGTCATGACGGATATTACATATTAATGACACTTGCACTGAAAAGAGAACAGAACAGCACCATTCATTGAGTCTTCTCATCGCCTGCTTTTAAACCGAACCTTTTATCGGTACTTTTTCTTTAACCGTCACCCTGTCCTGAAAACGAGATAATTTTCTTGAGAACATGGTTGGTCTAGAAATATCGAAAACCTGAAAGTACATCTATGAAAAGGCGTCAAAATTGTCACCAACAGTGATTTAACTTCATCGTTTAATTTAAAAATAAACTGTCAGTGAATAGCATTTGTTTATTGATGCAATATTGTCCCGAAGAATATTTCTCTAACACTCTCCTCCCTGAAGATCCTACCTTTATTATCTGGTACCCAGGCACGATGAGTGTTTCGCAAGCGCATATAACCCCGTACCAAGCATCCGCCTCCCCTACTTCAGCTTTGCACTCCACACATGCCAACCACTTCTGGTCTTTGCTCTCCTCATTGAGTCTGGATGAGAAGTTGAGAGCACCTCTGTTCTTCATCACCGTGTCCCAGACAGTGAAGTAGCTGTTACAGGGAGCAGTCTGGTTGAGGTAGTTTGAGTTACAGGGCTATTTGAATAGAATGAAAATAGAGATGAAATTAAGGTTATATCCCTAAGAAACTGAGCCTAAATTCTTTAGGGAAATCATAACATTGCAGCATTTTCAACTGATGATTGTGCCTAAAACAGTATTTACATTTTGAAAATTCCAGCTTTAAAGGGGTCGTTCGCATATTACGTAATCACTTTTTGGACAATTTTTTACCCCCGGCCCTCCCCTCTCCGTAATCAGTTTTACACATAGCTATTGTGTCAAAATTACATTAGCGTAATCATTTGGAAACCCCTCTCCCCCCTTGGCTGATAACGTAATATGTGAACGACCCCTAAGTGAGAAAAACTGGATGAAGCAAAAGTCTCAATTTACTTCTCAAAAATAATACCTCTCTTGGTATAAGGTGGGAGGAAGGATCATGGAACATCACATCATCCCATTCTAGGAGTAGCTTCTCGCACTGTCTGCAGTGTACAGTAAATTCCGAGCCAGGCTTCCCAAACTTTAACGGACCCTAAAATATGGTTCTTAGTTTCCGATATTGTCTGTCATAATTATACGGAACATGTGCCGATGTGCCATGTTCAAAAACGCGGACCGAGCCGATTTTAAAATATAAAAAATAATGAATTGTCACAAAAATTCACCTTTTCTTGCTTCTCATGGATAATCCTCCTAACCAGACTGAAGTTCGAGAATTTTTCACTCTCTTCCAAAGTCTGTTCTATTTGGCGATTTGCCAGAGGATTTTCAGTCACTACCCTCCCCCCTTTCTCGCGCTGCACCCTCTTTTCAAACACAGTCAGTTGATTACAGAAACCATCGTTAGGTCCTGCTCGTGGCCGACCTTCTCTGATCTAAGGACGATTTTAACTGACAAGTCTTTACACAGGATGTTACAAAAATTATATCACCATTTCGCCGAACAAAATTTAAAAGGATTCATGTAGCAGATAGGCTCCAACTGACCAACTATTCACACTCAAATTAAAATGCGACGGTAGAGCACGAAAATAGACAGATTCCCATTCCCGAGGGAAGTCCTCCTAAAACAACAGTACTCACGATGCAAACAGCTTGAGGAGCGGAGAAGCCTAAAGTAGCAATGAGATAGGAGGCTATAGCAGTGACACTCCGTGATACCCCAGCTAGGCAGTGTACCAGCATGTGACCTAACACCAGTGGAAATTTTTTAATTTATAGGGAAACTAGGAGAGTAGGTAGGCTCGAATGGTGAAATTGTTAGGATTGAGGTATGGTGTGAGTCTAGGGGTAGGCACATCAATTCAACAGTCAATTATCATAATACAGCCTACAGAATAGCTGAGTGCAAATATATTGCCAAAAATGAAAGTTCATTCATCAAGAATTTTATGAGCTCAATAGGTAATTAAGTAGCTTTATTTAAAGTCAAAATTACCTTTCTGGAGACCGCGATGAATGATCTCGTTGAAGTTGGCCATATTGGAGAGCATGTCATGACTACACTCGTCGTCCATCTCAACAAACTCGTAACTAGGTCACTTTGGTTAGTAACCAGGTAACTTTGTAGTTGAGGCTGCTCAAGCTGGTTGCTAGAGCATATCAATTCTGAATTCAGCGATTTGGTATCTCACAGTCACATTTTCACTGCAGCTGCTATAGAAAGGATTCTATATCAGTCTTAAGAAAACATTGAGGGACCTAAAGTACAAGAAAACACCAGTCAAGAGTTTATCTTAAGAAAGGCCAGCCGGCAGCCGTTTGAATGAAAATAAACTCACAAATCTGAAGGACGCCACACTCATTGAACAGTTATTGAAAACTCACGTGATATGCCCTAGCCGTTTCTCTTCCTCCATAGGGCGTTCCATTACCGTCAATACTGTCTTGATATCGTACTATACGGGAGAATCAACATTAAATAATGTCACTTAGCTTCAAATTTGCCTAGACTACAGCTTTAAACCATCTCATGCCTGACTATCGGTCAAAGATTTCTGCAGAAATGTTATCTTCATTTTAAACAACTTTTAAAAAACTTACAGCTTCAAGGATGTTTTTACAGCTAGCTTTAAAGCGGTTGGACAGATACAAACACGGCAAGATTTCATCAACTCCTGTGTCCCTCTTCAGGGTATTTTCCTTGGCACTTTTAGTTTTTTCTGCCATACCTACTTTCACAATAGTAATGTTAGTTGTGTTTCGAAGAAGAACCGCGGTAAGTCTTGCTTTAGCATGAGAAGTTAGAATCAATCCAGGTAAAATTTCGTAAACGTACTTATTCGGCCGTACTTTTGCTGGAAGCTCCATGATGCCTTCCGAAGGGGGGGGGGGGGGGCCAATGGCAAAAAATGGCATAAAATGGCATAAAATGGAGACTTTTTCTATGGAGAAAATGGAAAAACCCATGAGTAATTCTCCATTTTCTCCATTTTATGCCATGAATTTTGTCTTCGAAATTTCATCTTTAACACCATTTAACACCTAAATTGGACATCCTAACATGTTTATTTACGCTTACTAGGGGCGTAACAAGCTTATGAAAGCTCATAGTAGGCTACTAGATGCTTATACTAGGTTAGCAGAGGCACACTTCAGGCAAACTCATAATTACTCAAGCCTAGTGTAAAGTTATTTCTACAGGCTACAGCAGGAGTGAGTAATAGGGGAGAGTAATAGGCACTGAGAAGTGAGACCTACATCCTCGACAGTTGAAACAAGCTCGCACTGCAAAGGGGAGGCCTGCCTTCCGAGATCGCATTACCAGGGGGAAGCCTCGAGTCCAAATTTGTGTATCGAGGGGTAGGTGCAGACTTCGATCAACCGAAAAACCAAAAAAATATTTTCGGCTTATAATGAAGAGGGTAGCATGAAACGTGGAGAAAAGTGGTTTTTAGAAAAACTTTGAAAAATTTTGACTTAGAAAATTTTCGGCCCGAGTCATTCTCGATACGTACCTCTCGTATCGAGAGCTCCCGATTCCGAGCTCGTGTTGCAAAGGGGAGGCCTGCCTTCCGAGATCGCATTACCAGGGGGAAGCCTCGAGTCCAAAATTGTGTACCGAGGGGTAATTTCTAAGTCAAAATTTTTCAAAGTTTTTCTGAAAAACACTTTTCTCGACGTTTCATGCTACCTTGTTCATTTTAAGCCGAAAATATTTTTTCGATCAACATTTTTCAAATTTTTTCTGAAAACCGCTTTTCTCCACGTTTCATGCTACTCTGTTCATTATTTGCCGAAAATATTTTTTCGGTTTTTCGAAGTCCACACCTTCCCCTCGATAGACAATTTTGGACTCGAGGTAATGCGATCTCGGAAGGCAGGCCTCCCCTTTGCAACACGAGCTCGGAATCGGGAGCTCTCGATACGGGAGGTACGTATCGAAAATGACTCGGACCGAACATTTTCTAAGTCAACATTTTTCAAATTTTTTCTGAAAACCACTTTTCTCCATGTTTCATGATACTCTGTTCATAATTGGCCGAAAATATTTTATCGGTTTTTCGAAGTCCACACCTTCCCCTCGATACACAATTTTGGACTCGAGGTAATGCGATCTCGGAAGACAGGCTTCCCCTTTGCAACACGAGCTGGGAATCGGGAGCTCTCGATACGGGAGGTACGTATCGTAAATGACTCGGACCGAACATTTTCTAAGTCAACATTTTTCAAAGTTTTTCTGAAAACCACTTTTCTCCATGTTTCATGATACTCTGTTCATTATTGGCCGAAAATATCTTTTTTTAAAATAATTTTTCTCGAAATTCTAAATTTTTCAGGTTTTCAATGGCATAAAATGGCATAAAATGGAGAAAATGGAAAAACCTATGAGTAATTCTCCATTTTCTCCATTTATGCCATTGGCCCCCCCCCCCTTCCGAATTCTTACGTAATTTATGATGGTACAGTTGAAGTTACTACAAGTACAACATTTTAGCTAATCCTAGTTTAAGCAGAACATTAAAGTGAGATAAGAAATAGAAATCCGGTAAAATTGCCCTGAAATATCATTATAAATGGTCATCAATAAATTAGCCTGATAAAGTGCGTACATCAATCTGCCAAGAGGTGTAACAAATTTGATAAATACCATCGAAAAAACCTATAAAAATTAAAAATTTAACCATTCTCATAAAAGATCACATTTAAGCGGATCAAAAACAGAATACTTAATGACTTACTTATCACTGAAAATCAGTGAAATATCATAAACAGTCATCACAATCTGAATAAAATTAACCTCAATAAATTAAACAATAAATGATCATACCTCATGAAATACTTCGTGTTAGTATCAATCAAGGTTTTTAAGCTGATAAAATTTGGCCGCGTTCCCGCCACAAACCTTCACTTGGTCATCTTCACTCAACTCAGAAACCAGAGTCTTATGAAGATTATTGACCACCTTATAGTTTGTGCCAGTCAGTCTTAACACAGGCCAATCACTTCCAATCATGCAGCGATCTGGTCCGAACGCTTCTAACACCACCTCAACATGGTCCGCAAATGTTTGAGGTGACCAGGACTTAGCATGCCCCACCGGATCAACCTCAGTTACCAGACCCGATATTTTACAAAACACGTTGGAGCACGAGGCTGCGTCTTCCATGTTCTTCCTCCATTCTGGGGACACTTGGAGGGATTTTAAGAGGTGTGGTTTAGCAATGTGGTCAATAACAATGTGGAGTTCAGGAAGGGCTTTAGCCAGTGTAGCTACGTGGTGAAGGTGATGAGGTCGGGAAAGGAAGTCGAAAGTTTTCCCTCTGGCTGCAACTAACTTTAACCCTTCAATCACGTCCTGTCTTACCACCCAATCATAAGAATCCTCCATGTCCAGGATATGTCTGACTCCCACAAACTTCTCAAACTTACACAACTCATCCAACTGTTCAGATAACAGCTTATGATCCGTCAGATTGACCCCGGCTACGACACCCTTTATAGCAGAGTGCCCACTCTTCAGTACCCACTTAGCTTCCTCGATATTGTTATTCAAACATTGTACAAATACCGCGTTCTTTACCCCAGAAGAGTCTAGCGCCTTGGTAAGGTCAGGATAACTGATGGTTTTGAAAATTGCTGCCACGTCTGAGTTCGGCCACGGGTAATCAAATCTGTCTAGTTCCCAAACGTGGAAGTGAGAGTCAACTTCGGCCATCACACCTAGTAAAATACTTGTTCAATTTGTACTGATTAACTATGATTAAGATGAAATAATAAATCTAAGGTTCAACTTTTTAAGCAAAATAATTTTGCACTGTCCAATATTTTGATTTAAATTTATTTAGCGTGTTGAATTCTTTTGAGTTCATTTGTTGAATGTTGAGATTGAATTATTTTGTCACGACTCACGAACATGTTCCAATATAACGACAAGTAAAACAAGGTGAATAAATTTGTTAAAATAGAGTAAGTATGACAAAACTTCTAGTTCTAGATATTTTACAAGTTACGGCGTATTAAATAACAGAATGTGCGCATCCAAAAATAGATATATATCTTAAACAAAGCTAATAAAATAGTTATAATACATTCTACTTAACCAGTTATGTTCTGTCTTTAGTTTACGAAAAATACACGGAACTTTGCACCTAATTCTAAGACTATCTGAACGCAAAAATATCCCAAAAATCGCCGACTATAAACCAGCTAATTATATTCCCTAAATTACAGTGATTAACAAAAGTAAATTCACGTGCAAGTAAAAATATATATCCCAAGCTTCGTGACAAGATGCAGATAAGTAGTTGTCATGTCTGCAAATGTGAGGAACAACTCACAGGAAGTCCACAGAAGTTTAAGCAACTAATTTCCAAAATAATGATACCACTTTCTCATAATTTAAACGGAAAATATACTGTCGTTTCAAGATTTATAATTGAGTCTGAAATTTAGAGGCGTGATATAATCGGCATGTATGATAGAAAAACAAAATTGAAACTCGTGATAACAATGCACTTTAAGACCTGAAAAAACTTTTAAGAACCGTAAAGAAAACAGAAAATGATAGCAATCTTACTTGAAACATGATAAAGAAATCTCTTAAATGTCTTATTTATGGAAAGGAAAAAAAAACAAAAAGAACATGTAATATAATCAGTATCACTTATTAGAAAGCATCAACTGAAATATAAATGTCAAAAAAACCTTTTACAAAAACTTCAATTAGATTTTCACAGGGAGAGAAAAACACTCAAAAAACACACACACTTGAACCTTAATAACTTTAATTAAATTAAACCTATTTCATTTTGAAAAAAAGTATCTAGAAGATAACAAAAAAACTTAGAAACTGCTTGTATTCAAATCTGCATTGGGCTATGATGAATAACCATAACATTGCAAATTGTTCAATTTAAAAGATTTAAATATAAAACAATAATAATAGGTTCCTAATCTTTTGATTTTGATCACTTAAATACAGATCATCAAAAACTAAAATTAACTGTTAAAGGTTAACATCTTATTCTTCATCAAATAAACATTAAACAAATACGACTGTTTGGATTAAAAATAAACTTTGGATATTAATTAAATCTTGTATGAAATATCAATGATGTTCAGTTCTTATCAAAAATATGTTAACAATTTAATGATACCTCACTCTGTGCTGACACAGTTTTTTTGCAAAAAAATCGTCCAACCCAACCATTCATATTGGTCCTGTTAATGCTCCTGTTCTTAATCCCGTATTGAAGTACACTGACGTGCCAATCATCACCATCTTCAGCTTTAGATATCTATATGTGCAGAGGAACATGTCTTAGTGAGGAATACTCACTGTGATCTAGTGGCGAACTGGAGGCGTTAAGACCCCTTAGCTTCGCGAGTTTCAGTTTTGATTGGAATGTTGAGAAACTGGTTAACGTCCATCTCCCCTTCGCTCTGCGGGGAAGAGGTCCTGTCATCCTCATCCTGGCCCATATCAGGAGCACCAAACCCAAAGCTCTGTTCCTGGGAATACTGGGGGTACTGGGGACCACCCCAGTACTGAGGAGCGGCGCCTCTGAGTGGAGTGTGTCCTTGTGGAGCGGGGGCGGCTTTCTGCATTGCCGGCTGCTGTTTCTGGAGATACTGTTTGTAGAGCAGGGGAGGGAGTTGTTGTTGTTGCTGTTGGGTGGGGAGCTGGAAGGAGGCCGCCTGGAGATGCTGGTGGTGGGGAGGGAGCTGCTGGTAGCCCTGGTGTGGTTGCATTGAGGTAGGGGTATGCTGCTGGGGTTGACTCTGCTGCTGCTGCTGTTGTTGCTGTTGCTGAGCCTGCTGCTGCTGTTGCTGTTCCTGCGGTGGTTGTTGAGGTTGGCCCTGTTGCTGGTGCTGTGGGGTCTGTTGCCTATACATCTGCATCATGTTCTGGTAGAGATGCTGCTGATGATGCAGCTGAGCGAAGTTAACATGCTGTTGCTCCCTCTGTACAGGGGCTGGAGCAGGAACTGCTGGAGTTGTGCTGGATTGCTGCGAGTACGGACAATCCGGCGCCTTCTTCATTTTCTTCTGCTTCTTTTCAGCAGGGAACGATATGGGGGAGTGTATCTGAATGTTGACTCTGTTGTCACAATCATCTGACGTCTTCTTCCTTGATTTCCTCTTACTGGCGGGACTGGGAGTAGCCTTCTTGGCCTCAGCCTCCTTGGCGGCGAACATTTGCATCTGCTGCTGCTGCATGTACTGACTGTACTGAGCCTGCTGCTGTTGATACAAGTGGTTCTGATAGGCTGGGTTAGTGAAGCGTTGCTGGCTCTGTTGGCTGGCCTGGGAGCTGGCTACCTGACAGTTGCTGGGTTCACTTTTCATGGGGTGCTGAGGGGCCGCAGCAGGGTCGGTGACAGGAGCGTAATACTGTTGTTGTGGACGGTAGGCTAATTGGGGTCTCTGGTTGAAGACACCAGACATTGACTGATGATGCATCTGTTGAGTAAGCTGTCTCTGTTTCTGCTGAGCCAGCATGTTCGCATGCATCTGAGCCTGCGTCATGTGGTTTTGAACAGCTTCTGAAGCTTTGGGTTTCTTGCTTTTTGATTTGCTCGGTGCGCTTTTCGGCTTTGGTTTGAGCTTTGGTTGCTGCTGTACGCGCTGGATCTGACTGGGCTGCATGTACATTTGCTGCGGCATAAGTCTGGGCTGAATCATCTGAGTACCAGCGAAGTAAGTCTGATACTGAGGTTGCTGCTGGTACTGGAACTGCTGATATGGCTGTTGTTGCTGAATCAAAACAGGCTGCGGTTGAAGCTGAGGTGAACTCCGAATCTGGGGCTGAATATCGTAGTTCACGGGACTGAGCAGGGTCGGAGGAGGGGTCTGCTGGACCACATCATGTTGAGGAGTGGACGCAGTACTGGAGGGGGTCGACTCAGGGGTCACATCCTTACTAGCACTCTCACCACTCTGATCTTGCGAAGTGGCTGGAGTCATGATGTACTGGTCCATTGACGTTGAGTTAGCAGTGCTATTGTAAGACTGAGCGGTTGTTGTGACGGATTGGTTCATTTGACTCGTCTGAGGTGAGACAGAAGAGGGCTGTGACATGAGATAGACTGCCTTGCTCCCGGCAGGCATCTGGAGCTGCAACGGAGTATTCTGTTTCTGAATGAAGATGGGTTGTCCGTTGATAACTTGGGTACCGTTATTGAGGAACTGCTGACCAGGCTGAGCTTGGATAATCTGAGTAGCAGGGACCATCTTAGTCTGGTTAGGCAGAGTCCCTCCCGGTGGCATCTGTATCAGGAGTTGATATCCCTGGTTTGACTGAACAGCTTGAGCTGGGATGGCCTGGTAAACCACTTGCTGCTGTTGGACATTTTGGGCTGAGGAGGAAGAGGTCTTCTTAGCTACCTTCTTTTTAGGTTTTTGCTTCTCCATTTTATCATCCTCCTTAGACTCTGTGGTAGAGTTGAGATCATCTTTACTATCATCTTCTCTAGGGAGGCCGGGAGTAGTTGCTGGTGTAGTACTCGCACTAGACTGTCCTGGAGAGGACTTGAGAGGAGTACCGACTTGTACGGTACCCACATTATTCTTACTGAACGCAAAGTACCCATCCAACTCTATCTGTCTCCTTAGTATCTCGTTCTCCTCAATCATCCGCTGAACACTGACTGTCGGTGGCTCTATAACCCGCTCATCTATCGCTCTCAGAGCATCAGTAATGGAGGACTTCCCGCTGCTGGAAGTTGGGGTGGAACTGGAGCTCTCTCTGCTGGAAGATGGAGGAGTTTCGGGTGTCCGGGGAATCGGGACCTTGTAGGTGCACTTACCATCCTCTACCTGAGCTAGGATAGCTTGAGTGGGCCTAACACTGGATACCACTTTGGAGGGTTTTCTGTTCCGCTTGGCCGGGTTGGAGGGCTGGAGATGTGTCTGGTGGGTGGTCAGTCGAGGTAGAGGTAGTTTGAGAGGAGGTGGAGGTTGCACGTTGGCAGCGTGGGTAGCGCCCATCAGGAAGGATTGCTGAGGGTTAGTAGGGGGAGCCGGGAGGATGGACCTCGGTTTGGGGGCAATGTTGGGGGAGTTGGAGCTGGTGACTGGTCTGGAGATGAAATTCTGCTGAACCTGCTGCTGTCGTATCTGCTGTTCCTGGTGGTTAACCGGGATATTCTGAAAAAGCATCGGTGCTGTGTCGTCATTCTGAAGAGGGGACAACGGTTTTATCAGCGGTGACCAGTTCGTTGCGTTGTACTGAAATAAGAGGTATAACCCTTCAGGAAACGATAAAATACTACAAATAAGTGAAGAAACACAGCAATTTTCTCTCACAAAATCCATTCAAGTGGTCACTGGTCAGTAGATTAGTCTTTAAGGAAACTTAATCACATAAAAATTACTTTATCAAATTACCCAAAATTGGGGGCTAAATCACAGACTTAAATTACCTTCTCGGCGAATTCTTCCAAAGAAACACCCGTTGTGGGAGCGTTCTTATTCCAATGAGGGGAAGTGTCTATTGGGGGTAGAGGTTGACAGGGTGCTCCGCTGACAGATTTGGGCGCTGCTTTGCACATGGGCGTTACTCTGTTCACAGGCCTGGTGAAGAAATGACATGACTACCTAGTGGGCAGAGGTCTAGTTTACACCCTATCATTAAAACGATCAACTTTAATTATCAATCAAAATTCATTGATATTTAATTAAGTAGGTACCCATATAATATTATATACTATGTTAAGTAGAGGTGCTTTAAAATCGATTAATTAATCATCGATTGTGCTCCAAAATGCTATATTGGATATAAGCTCTAAAAAGCCAACACTTTTGGAAGTTTTCTTATACTTTACTTGTGGAGACACAGCCCATTGATAAGCTTTGTTATGTCAAATTTATTCATTAGGATGTAAGCAAGTTTTTAATTTCATCATGGCCTAACCCATATTTTTATCTAGATCACCAGTCGGAATAACGACCAGGGGATAAGCAAAACAAAAGTTGATGAGACATGATTCTACTATGCATTACTCATCAGTATTCAGTATGGTATTAGTAAATTCAATAAAAGCTCGCGATGAAATATCATACAAATTAGTATCAAGAATAATCAAATATTACAGTCAATAACGTTAAATATAATGGTAATTATTTTGCGGGTTCAGGCACCTCCCCCACTGCTCAACAGTCAAATAAAGTTGCAATAATCCTTCCAGGGGAAATCTAAAAAGTAAAATGCCTCAAAGTAATATGCTAATTTCATCCGCTCCTCATTCATAAAAACTAAGAATCTCTCTCTAAAAACTACTCGTCTGAATCTGAAACTAAAACAATCTGGCTTTCCGAAATACAACTGGTATGGGGCCGGCCATCTGACCCCTCGATATCTCCCAGTTTAATACCACTAGTCAGTATATCAGCAATGGGGATCTCCATGGGCTCCAAAGTGTCCGAATCTTCATCTATAATATCCAGTACATCGACCACTTGATTCTGAGCTCCACTCCCTCCAGCACCTCTCCATTCCTGAGTATCTGTCATCTGAATGTACCTTCCTCCGTCGATTTTAGGCTCAAGCTGGGCGTCAAAATCAAACGTTCCCGCAGCCACTGCACGTTGTAGAAGCTCATCACGTTTTCTCTTCCGGGAATCAGACGGTGAAGCTTGGGGCCTCTGTATGCCTCTTTCATCAAAATAGGGGTTGGTAGGATTTTTGAAAGTCATTAGATAGGGGGCAGAGACCTGCATGTTTTGTTTCTGCACGTCCGTAACTTTGCTGATTTGCTGAGTAGTATTCCAGGCGTGGAAGGGCGGGGGAGAGGGGGTCCGGCTCCTCACGGGACGGCCCGGTAAGATGAGTCTGTTAGTCATTAAGGGGGGAGATCGGGGCCGGGCTGGCGGAGCGTTCTTCCTGATGGGGGGTCCGTACGTGCTCGTCTTAGGGGCTGCAGTCACTAGTCGGCCGTGTTCTGCTAGAATCCTAAACAATAGTTATGGAATGTGCGGACAAGCGGTGAAAACATGCGAAAGGCGTCATGAAATATTTGTTAAGGGAAGCGACACAAGAAGCCACACTTACTTGGAATATGTGTTGGAGAAGCCCCCAAATCCTTTGTTCATCTGCTTCTCAAACTGATAACTCTTTTTGGCCAACATCTTCTCTTCTTGCGTCAGCCTCTCGTTCTATTTATAGAAATTTTTACAAACAATTAAATATTTACCAACAAATATTCAGAGTTTTTTCTTACATTTCCCTGATATAATTGAGGAGCCCCACAAGGATAATGCCTTCAAACAATTACAGTAGCGAAACCTAATGTAACCCGTATATTGTCATAATCACGGCCACAATTCTTGCAACCTATAGGAAATCAGAATACCATACATACTTCTAAATATTCCTAGCAGGTTGACTACAAATCTTAAAAAGGCAATTGTTACCTTGTTTTCGAGGAGGAGAGATTCGTGAGTAAACGGAGCAGCAGTCAGCAGATCTGGGTGTGATTCTAGGACTGTGCGTAGTACTGCGTCGTCAATTTCAGGAATAGTCTGGGTGAAAGTGAATAATAAATTAATTTGTACGTTAAACTTTAAGTATTGCAACGTTGTTTATTATATGTTATAAAGTAGAGATTGAAGCCACAAATTTCTGGAGTACCTATCGACGACGATACGGAGTATTAAAATTTGTATCCGGAAGATTTTATGAAAGTGAACAATAAAAAGTTAAAATTCTTCTGTTATTGGCCTTCCGTTATTGGCTTTCTGAATTCTAGTTTATAACCATAATTGGCAATGTTTTATGCTTATGATATTTACAGAAGCCTTGGAAAGTACTCTACAGCTAAACTTCCTACTTAGGACCAGATTAAAACATATGTCGGTCCAAAATTAGACCCTTAAGTATGATGTTATTTTAAAATGCTATCAAGTTTGTTATCGCATTATCGCCAGGCACCAAACTCCGGAATTCGATTAGTTAATTTCTATTTTAGTGCGGTATTACGGATTAGCTTGTGCTGTGTTCGCCGCAGAATATTCTACACAATAAAAGCAAACATTCCGAATAAGTTACACGACAAGGTAAGTTGCGTGGTGAACCGGTCACATATTTCTATCCTAATTAACACATCATTAAAACAAAATAGACTTCTAATAAACGATAAGTGAAGATAGTCAATAAATAAAAACCCACATTTTTCCAATCGTTCTCATGATCAAGGGCAGGGCCATCGGGCATCATCTCAAAGTTGTCCGCATTGCTGACGATCTCCGAACTGGTGAACTGTTTCTCCACGTTCTGCTCGTCGACCACCCTACTGCTCATCCCTTGCTTCGTGATCTGGGAGGGAGGGGGGACGTGTAAAAACAGGTCAAAAAACGTGAAGGATTCAACATGTGTGGTCAACTCCACCTCATTAAACTCTGTCATCCAATTTCAGTAATTTGGGTGCGACAAATTCTCAAAATTCTAATATTCTAGCTGTCAACTTTTGGTCTATAATTGCACGCAGAAAGTGAGCACATCATGCCACCTATTCGGGAGTAAGATATGGCAGTAAAAGTTGGTACCACTGGGAACACTATAGAGTTGGGTTACCATGACAGTTGACGTATTGTATTTCTGAGAAATCTTAGAAACTGATCAACCTCAGGTTTATTTACTGTATAATATAATATACATTTAATATGCACTAACTTTGTTGGTAATAAGCTTGTTATCAGGGTTAGTTTTAAGTTAAAGTAAAATCCTGTTAAACGTCTCAAAATACGTCGGCTGGTACTTTAAAAACGTTAATCTGCATACATTGCAGTCACACACATGAGATTGCAAAGTAAAACCGTGGATGCAGAGCTTCCTCTACGTCACACACAAAGCAAACTAGAACCAAATTCTCGCCACCCGCTCTCTATCTCTCTCACTCCGGATATTTCATATTTCAGCTGCTTCTTTCCCACGAGAAACAACATTTGACGTCCTCAGTATAATATGACATTATTATAGTGTTACACTACCCGTATAACTTTTCAGGGGCACTGTTAGCAGCCACGGGAGGAGTAAGGCTTTACCAGGCGTGTTGCGTAATGAGATTTAGTGTTTCATTTGTCCTGAAGAAGAACAAGTAGGGCACAAAACTGACAAAGGACCAGGCTTTTGTAGGCTCATTTACAGGTTGTTCTGACGGACTTACTAGTGGGGAACCCCACACAATTTCTCTTGTCGGTATTGTTCTTCTTAATCGCCGGTAGCTGGATACACCAGGCACTGGACGGACGATCCTTAACGTAAATCTGACTAATTTCGAGCCGTCAACTTGTAAAACTGTTGCCAATTGTCAACGCTAGGATGTAAGAATTCAGATCTTAATCTGAACAGGCGAAATTAGACCAGCAAGTTATTTTTAAATTTTCTACGCTGAAAGTAAATGTTGAAGCCTTTAAAACCTCGATTATGCTGAAAGACGGATAATCTTAGTGTTAACTGCCCTGCAAATCGAGCAGGGGGTAGAAGAAGACATATTTCAGGCAATGTTTCTAGGCCATAATTAAATACCCTGCTCTAACACCGGATTCTCAGGAAACGCTCCAGTGTCAATTCTTAACTAGCCGGCTGGTAGACTTTTAACGTATTGACAAGTCAGCAAGGTTAGGGAGGTTTGTGTAACTATATTTTCAGAACCGGTGGCAAGAGAACCAGCCAGTGTCAAGATATATGAATACGGAACCATGTAACTGCCACACCGAACTGAGAATCACCAGTCACCAACGAAATGTTGCAGGGCTTGTCACCTTATTATCTTGAATAGTTATTTGTGAAACATTCCAACTAGTCTGGATTCAGCGGGATGAGAGATGATCATGATATTAGACCACTTAGTGGTGTGCACTCTCTGCAGTTGCAGCACTTAACGACACCAAGCCTCAAAACATGCCCGGTCCTTATCCTCTGAAACACTTCTGGGAAGGGAAGGACCCGGCCAGTTCGTACCACTACCTGTGCTCTCCTGTGCTCTTCGCAATGTGGAGCAATTTATATCGCCATCCAAATACCCAGACTCAATTCCTGCTGCTTGGTGTGAGAATTGAGTGCACATATCTTCACGCTTACCTTGAATCATAATGTGTGCAATGTCTCGCATGGTGACATTTATTGAACTGCATTCTTTTAGATACTATTGCTGTGTAACTGACGTGATATTATATTTTGTAGTTACCATGACAATCCTGTGTATTTCTATAACTGGACAGATATATTTGCAGATCAAGGGAGAGTTTGAGGTTTTTGGTAATTGCTGTGGGACACAAATCAAGGAGCAAAAAAACAACTAAGTGCCGCTGCCTGGCAGTCTCTCTCTCTCTCTCTCTCTCAGTCTCTTTAACTTTAAGTCTAGACAGAGACTATCACATCTTACATCGCTGGTCGACTGGGGGTTGACGGAATGTCTACTGCGGAATGTAGACGGAATGTCTACTGCGATAATATATGTTACAAATATATTATAACTTTCATTATCAGTATCGATACATACTTTGTACATTTAAATCATACAATTATTTATAGATGTTGAATAGTGATACAATGTTAATGTACATTAAGTTTTGTGGGCCGATATTCTAAGAAATTCTAACATTTGATCGTATGGATGGGTAGATAGTGTAATAAATATATATAATATTACTGCATATTATGTAACTCGTAACCTTGAATCGGTTATAACTGAATGGTCATGTTATCAAGTGTTATGAATGGGCATAGTACTATACAACAACCAATGCGCCTCATTTACTAGGACCAACCTAATCAGCAACAATTTATAGCGAGTTGAAAAAGTATGCTGACCAACGGAAAATTCGTTAAAGAAGCGACAATTTTTAAGGAGAATTTGGTCTGTTGGGTCAAATAGGTAGAGTGGAGAACGGAGGTAGTCTTCGATAATTACAGTAGTTTACAGGAGGAAGGTTGTAACATGGCATATATAAATTCTGAGAATTCTAGTTCTTTAAATCAGTAAGTGGACAAACCGAGAATCACATACAAAACTGGCCTACAGTCTAGTGTCTACACTAACAGTCTTACAGAATACAGTCCGAGATTTATTAAGTTGATGGCCATTAACAATGAGATAGATTTAAACCTGGTAGCTATGAGGATTAAGATAGATTTAACCTGGTAGCATGAGGATTAAGATAGATTTAAATCTGGTAGCTGTGAGGATTAAGATAGATTTAAACCTGGTAGCTATGAGGATTGTGTATGATTTAACCTGGTAGCTATGAACTTGGTAGATATGAGGATTGTGTGAGATTTTAACCTGGTAGCTATGAACTTGGTAGATATGAGGATTGAGTGAGATTTAACCTGGTAGCTATGAACCTGGTAGCTATGAGGATTGAGTGAGATTTAACCTGGTAGCTATGAACCTGGTAGCTATGAACCTGGTAACTATGAACCTGGTAGCTAAGCTATAACCTGGTAGCTATAAACCTGGTAGCTATGAGGATTGAGGAGGTCATCTTCATCGTACTCCACATAGTTGATCTCCACGTAAGCAGGTGCCCTGTTGTACATGTGGAACCTGATCATGTCCCTACACCAGGGAGGGACCAGGAAGCAGGAAGTGGCAACACCGGGGACTGAGTGTCTCACCTAACCTCCATCTGTCCTCATTATAACTTAGTACAGGGTAGTGTGTAAGTGTTTTGGAACAGACTGCAAGCAACAAAAAGAGAGGAAGAAACTAAAAACTAGACAAGTATGTGATCTTGCACGACAATTCGGGTCAGGCTATAATTCATAGAATTATCTGAAGAACATTGTAACGAAAAGATGCAAATTCACGAGAGGCGACAAGCTAAGAGAGAGAGAGCCACGACAAAGGACCCTGTGAGGGGGTTAGTAGTATGTACAAACTACAAAGTATAAGCTACAAGTATACAATACAAGTTCTCATTGAATCACAACGAAATGGAGTCCAGAACAGGAGCATTGGCGCGACATAAATGTAGCAGGTAACAAAGCACAGCACTACAAGAGCCGGGGAGATACCATTCTCTTTAAAGGGGGTACTGCTGCCAATCCAGAGAGAGGGGGTACTACTGCTAATCCAGAGAGAGGGGGTACTGCTGCCAATCCAGAGAGAGGGGGTACTGCTGCCAATCCAGAGAGAGGGGGTACTGCTGCCAATCCAGAGAGAGGGGGTACTGCTGCCAATCCAGAGAGAGGGGGTACTACTGCTAATCCAGAGAGAGGGGGTACTGCTGCCAATCCAGTCACTGCTTACCGATCGATTAAAAAGACAGATGTACTATTTTAAAGAGAGATCACCACCTATAAAATGCTATTGTTGTATTAGAGGCGGGGTTCAGGGTATAGGTACCCCTTTACTACACCAGGGGAGAAGTACACTGCACAAAGTCAGGTATTCAAATTAGATTAGCGAAACAAAGCGGGTGGAGGGGAGTTGGCTGGAGAGTGAGAGAAGGCAAGCTAGGAGGAGGACACAAGTACAACCAGGCACTACACACTGCATAATATAATACTACGTTTTATGTGCCGTGGTATTAGCACTCAGACCTGTGCAGCAGCAGCGGGTCGGGTGTCTTAGCTAGAGAGAGCGAGAGAGAGAGATAGCTCACAATACCCTTACTGCAAATAATCACACTTTAAAATGTCAGCACCTTTTGCGGGAGGTGTTGCAAAGCTGTTCCAACGACACATATCTACTGCTAATATGTTAGGAAAAGAACTGCAGAGTCAGTGTCAAGCGCACTTCAGAAGAAGACTTACAGAAGGGGAGAAACGAGAGCTGGGAACTACAAGTCGGCAACAAAATCACACACTTTGTGAAGGAGTCTGGAAGAGGGAATTAGTGGGAATGGTAGGCAGGAGAGAAGGGTTTCCGAACAATTAGCACGTACCATTACCTGTTAGAAACTGCAGATATCTGACAGGGTACGAGCTGTTAAACTACAACTACAGATACTCTGCCTAGCAGCTTCTTGTAGTGTGGACCTATTGCTAACTACCATGTTCTGACGTTAAAACAACAGGGTGCTTGACAACTGAGCAATGGTGGTGCAAAGGCGGGGCAACAACATCTCTTCAAACAGAAGTAAACAGGACACCAATTAAGTAGACTCCGCATGCAATCTAAGCCAAAATAACACGCAGTTGCTGCTTTGCAAAAATAAAACAACATCTCGCAGATGTGGACCAGCAGTATATTATGTATTACACGTAAGATATGCGAGATCCAGTTACTACAGTCTTGACATTTGTTGTCTCGAACTGAAATACGTAGATCGCCAATATTTTTAACACATTTTCTTACTGAAAGCCGCTCGAAAAGTTAATACTGACAATACAGGTCCACAAGTTAATGGCAGTACCACGATACACTAGGTTCTGTTACAACCACACTCCCTTTACGCTTCTATATTGGAAAGTGATATAATAATGACGGTACAACACAAGCAGCACGGTGGAGCAGGGTATGTGGTTGTTGTTGAAAAGGTCGGGCTCTGTACCAAAAGAGAGCAAGTCAAGACTCGACCACTCTTTACTCACGCAACAAAACCTTACAAACGTTAGGGATATAATTTTGATAATTGCCCGAGGCCGGGGGAACAGGAGAGACCTACCTGTTTGTTGTATATTGTCCTCTCTAACGTGTTCTCCGCTACGAACCGGTAGACATAGCTTTGTTTGGTCTGGCCGTAGCGGTAGATCCGGCAGACTGCTTGTGCGTCGTGACAAGGGTTCCAAGAGACATCCATAATTATCACCCTGGTGAGGAGTGTTAGAGTTTCAAAATGTGGCATTGACAAGTAGGGTTCGAAAGTATTGGAATGTGGCGTTTCCTATGTCATCATTTCAAATAGAAAGCAGCTTGTCATCGCTTCAACCACAAAGACAGACAGTAAAATGGTTGGAATTAGTTAGCCTAAATGGGAAACTTAACAGCACCCTTGTAAAAGGATGAGCAATCAAATACTGTCTCGTAGCGAAAAGACGAGTAATAAAAAAGTAATAAAAAAGTAATAAAAAAGTAATACAAAATTAAATCTAACCTATTTGAACCGATAAGGTTGACTCCAAGAGAGCCGGCCCGCGTTGATATGAGGAACACCAGAGCACTCTCGCCTTTCTTATTGAACTGCCTTATCAACCGCTCTCGGTCCTAGCGGGGTGATTAATTAGCTAATTAACGACTATTAATTAATTTGTTTTTGAAGTGAAGTTAGCAACAAACTATTTTCCTGATCACCATCATGGCTGTTTAAAACAGATCACAGAAAACGAGAAAATATTAACATTTAGAAGAAATGTGCCTGCCCGAGAACAACAAAGAGAGTATTTAGATTCCAGAATCGTATAAACGATGTGCAAGCTGAAACAAAATATTGGACGCAATGTGTTGATTGGTTTTACTCGGTTTTTGAACAGCACAGGAAACAAATTCTCGGAAAATTGAGTTTGATAATGGGATTTTAAGATATAAGTGGGCAGACGACTCACTCTCAGGACGCACAAGGGAATATTTAATTACAAGTCTCGAATTTGGTGCTTTAATACATATGTTAAGAGTACCTGAGAGTTGGTGCTGCCGTCTAGTCGGAAGTAGTGTTTGTTTTTGGCCCACTTTACCCTCTGCTGTTTCGGAGCTGGGTACTCTGGGCTGCTCGGTCCTTGTCCGGACTGCTATGAAATGCGAATAGTTGTCAAGTACAATAAAATTATACCACGATTTCTGCTTCAAGTAATTATTTAAACGATTCTGTAGAATGATAAAATAAAGCATCTGAAAATATTACAAAATACTGAGAACTGGAAACAGACACTAGCGCTCGAACTGTAATTTCAACATCAAATTACATGCTAAAAATAGACAGAACAGGGTTTCAGCCAAAAACTAAATTAACTAATAGTTAGAATTCAAAAAATTTCGATTTTCTAGTAGCTCTTACCGTTGGATTAGCCTCGCCACCATTGAAATAATTTCTGATGTCATTCTTCTGAGAGCAGTTTTCGGGCAGGTAACGTTGTTGAAGAAACTTCTCGACCAATGACAGAGTCAAGAGAGACTGACTAAATACGACCACCTGAGATAATTTGAAATATAATATGCAAAACAAATTCGTGAAAATACAACTGGCATGTATAAAACATAGCACATTGTACATTAAATACCGCACATCTAGTCAGTAGTACACATAGAATGAATATTGTGGTTACGAATTGAACATCACACGCGGTGAACGTACTTTGTCTCCAATAGCGACAGCTTCTTCAATGATGCCCAGAAGAAGGACCATTTTGGCTCCATCCTCGACGACTCCCCTTCTCATGCCAACTAACTCATCCTGTGCCCATTCTAGTGAGAGCTTGGTGCTGGCTTTGGGAAGGTCCACATCCAGATCATCAATCTTACTGGATGCAACCACCTCTTGTAATACATCAGGGTGGTTCCAAATCTGGGAGTTTGGTGTTAACAAGCCAAAATTTACCAAATTGTGGACTAGGGTGTCATCACCAAATTTTGTCATTGCCCCCTGGATGTCGAATAATAATCATGCAATTTCAACCAATTACAATTTTAAATATAACCCCATACCAAGTGTTGTCAATTCATTTACGATTAATGTTCTAGGTTTATACTCCTTTATACTCAATGAATAATGGATTGGGTTTTCATCACAAAGCGAACCTTGGTAAGAACAGTAAAGGCGTAGATGGGGTTAACCGCTCCATCTATCTCCATATCAGCAGCAAACCGCTTGAGTAATCGCCTCTGCACGGGCGTCATCTTGACACACAGCACATACTCCGTTTTACTTTGTAGAGTGTGCTGCAGAATGCTCTGGTCTCGCCTGCAATTAGAATCTAGTTGAAAGTGCCCGGTCTAATTGAGCTGGAGTTAGGGTGCCCACACATCGGGGGTTAATGGCTTGTTAATTAGCTGGCCAGGTCAGACCCTTTAGCAGCTTGTTTAGGCGACTTGTTAGTAAGAGGAGGATTAATACGCTTTCCAGCGACGGGCACATTACTGGCTATCAGCGGAATGAGTTCAGCTTGTATTATCCAATCACTCCAGTGAGTGCTAAACCTTGGTTGCCAAAGCTTTGGAAATTGGTAAATACTAAATGTTTAGTTAATCTTTTTACTTTGATGCGTATCAAAGAGGATCATCCGGTGGTAAAATATCTGATGTTTGGGAGTTTAGCTTCTAAGTGTCAAATTATTCAAAGCATTCTCCTCCCTTTTCTTGCACTTGTCACCAGCGAATTACAAAACGCCATAACCATCGTAATCACGATGGGAGTTTACAGCTCTTGCCAGAATGACTGGGATACAAGCCTTACAACACCCAATCTATAGATTTCTGACACATTACCCTGAGAAAGTAGGGCTGTTGGGAGAGTTTAGTCAAAGCTTCAAAGATACAGGCACCAGGTGTTGGAACCGGGTTCTGCAGAAAACTCCTTCCTTATTTTAAACATTGAGGGATCGTGAGATAGAAATGGACATATTTCACGGCATTCAGTTAAAAGAAAAAGCAAAAAGGGCCCCGACCATATGCACACGGTAATATGAAGTAAACCTTTTAACTTTGATGCTTATCAAAGAGGGCCAATCTCATTGATGTTTGGAGTTAAACTTCTTACTCAAAGCGTTATCATTATCTGGCCAACACTTGGAACGACCGAATTACAAAGCGAAAAATCTTATTGATATTGCCGGAATGACTGTGATATGAGGTAAGCCTTACAATATGGAATCTATAGATTTGCGATACACTGTACTGGGAAAGTGGAGCATTTCTTAATATATCCAATTCTGAATATTTATGAAATACCTTCCAAATTCTGCAAAGTGTCCGCAAAATAGAGCAGATATAATACTGCATTCGAATTGCGTATGAAGACTGAACTGTATCCCCAAGATTGGAGATTTTCAACTCACCGATTGGTACCAGGTGAGTTAGACCAAGTGTAACGGAAAGCGACTAAATATGGCCCATAAAATTTACAAAGTGAGACTTTATGAGAACCGAATAGACATATTTCAGAGTGTTCGAGATTCGGTAGAAAGGGCCCCGACCGAAAAAAGGGCTACCGCCTATTATACAGGATACGGGTCTTTTCTCTAAAATACAATGAATACAGTCGCGTAACAATAAGTCTATAACTTATCAATTGAAAGAAAAGCAGTTTGAACTAAATAGGTCATAGGTCTAGACTTAACCAGTATCATCTGTTTCAGAGATCACAAATATAGACCGATAATCGACATTCGGCGATAACTTAAAGGGTTCCGACAAAAAAGTGAGTTGGGCGGCACAACTTTATGTTCTGCCACTGAAAAAAACAACTTATACAGCTGGTTAGATATGGCGAATGCCCAGTCATTCACAGTTTAGAAATCTCGAGATGGAAGGACAGGTCCAGGATCAGTGTAGCCAATTCCAGGGAGAAGTGTTCGCCGTGGCAGCGCTATCCCAATAACCAGTCAATCATAAAACTTTAGGGGGCATGTGAACCTCGGGCCTGATCAATAGTTTGCAAGCACTAAGCAGTTATTACTAGCCCTCTGTCTTCTCGCTGGGATTCAAATATCCAGTCACTCTGGCTAACAAGGCAATATCGAATGACGTTCATTGATCGCAGGAGTGATTATACTCTCAAAATTACCCTTTCAACCAGTGGCGTAACGTTGGCTGTTGGTGAACAAATTAGGTGATTTTAGAGGATACGCCGGTGTTTCTAGAGCAAAACGGCAAACGGGTCAGCGGGGCCCTTCGTTACGCCACTGCTCTTAACTCATAATAATTTAATTATCTAGCGTGCGAGAATAAAATTGAAAAGCAAAAGTTCGCGCGTATGTTCGTACGTGACGCCGCGCTAAGTGAAGTGAGTACAAAAAGAGTAGGTGTTGCAAAACATTAGCGCGCGTTCCATTATAACGCAACCATCATGCACTGTGAACTATGACCGAATAATTGGCCCGATCTATGATCTCATATCTATCATGTAATCTTTCGTGCAGAATGCAAAAGTTTCAAAAACGAGACTTTTATGCTCATATAAACAGGAACACAGCATACCTCTGAACAAATCCTTCAAGTAAACTGTGTAGAACATGCGATCTGAACTTCATCAACTGCGTGTCCTGAGGGAAACAAAACCTTTAAAACTAGACTAATCCCACTTATTCACGTGACGCACATTTCAGCGATTTCAAAGAATTTCAGCCACGAGATATATATAAGATACCATAACCAGCAGGGCGTGTTCACCTTGAACGTGCTATCAACACACTGTCCGTTCTCTATCGGTCTCACAAACATGTTATTAAACTCGTTCTTTGTTCCCAAAAAGTTAGGTCGAACGAAATCCACCATGCACCAATATTCTTCCAGATTATTTTGTAGAGGATATCCCGTCAACACTATCCTCCGCCTGTGAAGGTTGGGTTAGGAAAAGTAACTAAATTAAGAAATGTCTGGTTAAACTACAGCGGAACCAGTAAAAATGTGCCATGTACCGTTTATAAAACAACAACTTTCTGGAATGTTCGCTCCAAGACACGTTACACAATGGTCTGCAATTGATAAAACATGCATCGTACCTGGTTTTGACTTTTTTGAGAGCTTTAGAAATAGTGGCGTGAGCATTCTTTATTCTGTGTCCCTCGTCGCAGACAATGAGATCCGGTCCAGGATATAACAGGGATCTTTGAGTTGCTAGAAAAACGTGGGAATTGTTAGCCGACAGTTTTAAAGCCATTTAAGTTCACTTTTAATGATAGTGTTAACTGTTAATGTGACTCGCCAATATTGGTCGAGAAGAAGAGAAGACATATCGTTACTACATATTACATTATGATGTATCCATATATATAATATATATTCAACACTGGCGATGAGGTAATACGAAAACCTATTATATCGACTCAGCAGATAGTCATCAATCTCTACTGATTTCACAATAATTTCAAAATATTGACCATATATAATAAGTCGCAATAGACATACATTGCATCAATCATCAACGTGTAACAGACTAATTCTGGGCTGCTTCAGAGAGGTGATTATTTGTGCTTGTAAATTAAACGGCACCCATGAAATTATGAAGCAAGGCTATAAAACTTGCTGAGGCTATAAAACTTGATTCCCAAAAACAATTTAAAGACATCGAATTACATAAAATGAGGGTGTTAATGTTACTAGCCAATACTAATCACATGGAAACGGTGTCTTATTATTACGTGGCAATCCAATATTATAACTGGTTAAAATTAAATAGTGACTCATCAATACTAATGCACCAGACATTGTGAAGGAAGTATTCTTTGATGTTAAGCCAGGTTTACTTTAAACGAGACAAAAATCAATACTTTGATAACAGTATCCTCAGTCCTCACTGCGGGTTCCTTTTGTCATCACAGAGGGTGAGATCCGATCAAGAGGAAATGACGGTGCTTTGTAAAATTATCTAAGGAAAAATATCACAACAACCGAACGAGTACTTCAGTTGATGTATTAAATATTCATAAAACTAAACACATAATAAAGGCAACTTAGTGTGTATTGTCGGCAAGCCCTTTGTCAACACAATCATTACAAGATCTGCCTGCAAATGAGCGAGATTCTCGCTAGAAAGAAAACCAGTTGGTAATGTCGACGGTTGCAGAGAGTAATGACACATGTATTAGTTCAATGTTTTAGTGGCTTTGTCGGTGAGCTGGATCCTCCCAAAAAAAGTGTTACTTCAGTTAAAGTGGTGAGTATTGAGTGAGAGTGGTGACTGCGAGGAAAACCTGGTGGTGGATTGTTACCAGCTATCAACATCTACTCAACAGAATCTCTACTATGTACATCCTGGGTTTGTGTGTGTGGCTCTTCCCCTCGCTGGTGTACAATAAAGTAAAAGAAATATAATATGGGATATTCGATAAGACAGTGACAGAATGTTTTGTTCACGTGACATTTTGGTACGTGATTATAGCTTGGAGGGAGTGATGGTTATGTTGTAGAGGTTATATAGGATGGGGGGGGGGGGGGGGGGAGTAACGGATAACACCATTAAGGGGATCATTTAGGTCGAGTAGAGAATTCTTAACCCGCAGCAGTGATTGTTTTACCAGTTGTAAGTCTGGATTACAGTTTGGTGTTTTACCCTTGAAACTCTATAAATGCATAGAACAGGTTACCGAATTTTTACCTGAACATATAGCGTATAGATATAATGCAACAATAAAACTATCGCATAACAATTCCAGGAAAATCACTTTCAAAGAAAAACAGTTTGAACATAATCGAATACCAATGTAAATGGTCTAGACTAAACCATTATAATGTGTTCCCGGGATCAAGAAGCTGGTGGGCCAATAACGAGCTTACTATTATCAAGTGTAATCATACCTTCACAAGACTATACATTATCTGGGTTTTAAGAGCTCTTCATTTGGGCTAATCTGGGGGAGGCCGTATCCTTACTATAACATTAAAGGTGGAGGTGGAGTAAAGACGAAAAGTTACCATCTCACCGGATAATTATATCGATCTCTACTAATTTCAAGGTTGTTTCCTCAATAGACAAACTTTGATCAAAATGTGTAATCAAACTTCTTCTTAGCTATTTCAGAGAGTGTTATTTGTACTTAGGCGGTCATCTGCTGCACTTATGAGAGATTGTCTGGGACCCATGCTATGAAATCGTGAAGCAAGATTAAAGGTTGCTCCGGCTGTAAAGCCAGCTGGACAACAAGAGTTCGTATTTTATTATAACTTTGAGGACAGACAAGGCATATGCTTGATTACCAGTTTACATGCATTTTTTCAGCCAATATTTAATATTCATTTTATTTATTTGTGCAGTATTGTGAGTATGGCGCAACACAAATATAATTTGTAGCTTTTTATGTGATATATTATTACATGATACGAGCATGATACGAACATATAACTGCATATTATACAATATATGTTCGTAATTGTATACTACATTAATTGGTAAACAATCCTAGATAATATTGCGAAATAGAATTTTTCAGTTCAAGAAATTATATATATTTATGCAATGTTTTATATTGCTAAATAGACCAGTTCTTATTCGTTAGGTATGCATTTCAACAAGAAATATCACAACTCCAACCGGCAAAAAAGATGAGTCCTAAACATTTTAACAGCGCTTAAATGATACAGTACACGTGTTTAAAGATTAGCACAAAATCTGATACAAAATGGTGCCATCTTTTTAAAACATGCTCTTGAACGTACGATATCTATTATTATATTTTATTATTATATTTATAAACTGTATTCATGTTTTTAAAAGTAAAGATAACAAGCATAGCATATATAACATTACCATCTTTATTTTTAATCTAAAACCTTTTCAATCTTGCGAGATCTACATAATTTGATTTTTCAGATAAAATCCAAAATACAAGATTCAGAAAAGAACCTTCGAGAATCTTCTATATATAATAAACTCATGTAACACGGGGTAGACATTGTACAGTGTTTACTGTAGTACTGTAAGTACAGTGTACTGTGTATCTTGTTACCTGTCAGGAGGTCCATGTAGAACTCCTCCTCGTCTATATCACACACCTCCTTTACAGGAGCCCCGCGCTTGCGCCTCTTGCGACAAAGCTTGCGCGACACTGCGTAAGATGGCTCCGTCAGTGCTAGCAGTCTGAACATCTCATACCTGGAGAAAAATACACGTGCTTTAAGCTGTAAGGTTAAACCGAGAGATGTACGAAATCTCCCACGGACAAAAGGTTGGTACAGGTTAACTCAGAATTAACGCCCTAGACTCGAGATTTCTAAAGAACCAGTCGCTGGTAGGTTAATCTCAACAGACTATACCATGGTCACAAAAAGCTGGCAACCTAAAGCTTGAAATTACATTAGAATTTAACTAACTTGAGCAAAAAATTTAGAGGCCAGCTTTTTGTGGTTGTAGCATAGTATGTAGCATAGGGAAATTATTGAAATAATCTGGGAGGCAGAAAACTGCAGTGTGAAAAAGTAAATTTAACAAACCCAAGAATCATCACTCCTCCAGTCTCATTCCACTTTTTGATCAGCGTAGCTCGAGCTTGGAAAGTCTTCAACAGATCGTTAATAACATAGAGCGGATAGGTTCGGGCGGATCCCTCGCCAACTACTGTGTGATCTTTAGGAACCCACATATCAAACTCATTACACCAGTTTTGTAGCACGTTAACTGGTACCACAATGAGAACAGTGTGTGCGGGAGTGTTCCGCAGACAGCAGTCAACAAAGCTAGGAACAGGAGATCTGGTTACTTCCGGGTTTGTGGACAATATCATATTTCGCAGAACATTATTGCTACCTTTTTAAAAGTCTACATATTCAATATAGAATCTATCTATATTATAGATACAACAGTCTATTGAAAATCTATCTAGACTGACAGACTGTTGACATGGGTTCTCTCGAGTTAGTTTGGTACCTGATAGTTTGGAGTGTTTTGCCCAGACCCATGGTGTGAGCTAGTATGCACCCGAATCCCGGACTTGAGTTGAACCTCGACACAGACTCTATTATGTTGTCGTACAGAAACCTAATTCCTCCAATCTGTAAGGAAAGTTTGGTGTCATCGCGAGTTCTCACAGACGAGTAACTTCTAAGCACCTCATAAAAACTCGGTTTAATTATGCAGTTATTGTTACAGTTATTGTCTACTTCTGCAGAGGTTTTAAAGAATATTATATAATATGATATAATGTATTTTACTTAGAAGCGGTACCATCAGTTGTTATCATCCATAATTCATTTCTAGGAAATGGGCATTCGATATGCCGCGCATGCCGTAGCTATTTAATGTTAATTTTGTCGGAACGTTATGTTAGACTTAGATGTAACATTTGTGGATTATCTTTATAATAATGTACATATAATTAATAAATAATGTACATATAATTAATAAATTAATAAACAGATGTTAGACATTTGGTTAATTTTTTTAATAAGCTTTAAATATAATGTAATTCAAAACGTGAGGTGGGTGAGGTCAACCTAAACATTTTACTCATTATGTATAAAATTTCTCGGCAAAGTGCCAAAACGATAGGACCTAATTTCAAAACATGATACTTTAAAACCATGCAGCAGTATTACATTAGTGACAGTGCCTATTTAACATAACCGTTTCAACTTCTTCACAAGTGGCGGGAAGTGGCGAAATAAGTTCCTTTAACCCCCTACGGGGAGGCAAACACACATACGGGGCAGGAAACAAAGATCCATTACTAGCTCATTGAAAGTATTTGATAAATTGAACTTAACATAATGGAAAAAAGATACCCATTTATATAAAATATCCTAACTTAACCATTAATGATACAATTTAATTAATGATATTATTTAATCCCTAATTAAACTCACCTGATGAGGTTTAACGGTTTTAGCAAGTTTGTCAGTAAGGAAGATATCCTGCTCATCTGGAGGATGGTTAACATTCACCAAAACTCGTCCCTGATTATCTGTCACGTTCTTAGTGTCATCCGTGTGCATGCCTCCCACGAACGCTGTCGTGTCATCGTATCCGGTCAGCGGTTTGTCTGATTCCGGTTCGCTTTCGTCACTTGATAGCGTGATTACGGTGGGTTCTTTCTTCGGTTTTCTGAAAGTGTCTGGCGTAACGGGACAATCTTGTTACTATTATAATATAGTTGACTATATTATATTATTATGTATTGTGTAACAGGAATAAAAATTAATCTTATTTGGTTTAGCTAAACGTGAGCAGCCTTCACTCCTTCATTAACTAATTTACCCTTTCTGTCTTAACTGCTGGAAAAAATCCCAACTACAATACAAGTACTAAAACTTACTTCAAAGTCTAAGGTTGAAACATTCAACAACCGCAAACATACCAAACCTAGTCCTCTCAAAGGTTTTGTTGTTGAACTGGGCACTGTGTTGGCATGTTCTCTGACATTTACAAGAACTGCCACGACTCAAACAGCGGTATTCGGCAGGTAAAGGATGCCATTTGTACTTTAGGATACATTTTCCGATATACAGAGCATAGTGATTAGTGACTACTTCAGAATAACAGGAGCAGCTCAGCGAATGGTTGGTGCGAGTGAGTAATAATATGGACAAACAATATCGTCACAACAATTATTACATATATATATAATATAACCATTATCCAAACAGTGGGAATTGAAGAAGTGTAACTACGAAACAGGCTAAACATCAAGATGTGGCTGATCCTTTATCTATTTTCTTATCTCACAAAAGCTCCTTGAATACGATGGTGGATGTAGATAAATCAAGGTACGTCAGCTCAGGAACATGGTAATACGAGAACAGTACACAAAGATGTAGACAAATACTCCTTACACACTTTGCTATTTAGTATTTAGTATTTACTTTTAGTTTTGCATGAATCGGAATACAAATACAATAATGTAAAATTGTTATCAACGCTAGCACAGAACTGAAATCCGCTGAAGTATAATTTCGAAGGGCCATTTTTTATTCATTTCTTGTCACGAGAAACATGAAGATTCCAAAAACTAAAATTAAACGAACACAGACCTTTCTTTCTGGGGTTCTCCAAGTCCGTGATCACTGTCATCATCCAACAGAATGACTTGATTTGAAGTAGATTCCTCGCTTTTCTGTTTCTTTCTCTCTTCCTGAAGAAACTTCTTCTTCTCCCTCTCCTCCGCTAGAGACTTCTCGTGTAGCTCCCTCAACCACCTAATTCTTTCCATTTCCCTCTCTTGTTCCAATCTTGTTTCCTCAGCTAGTTCATCCTCGTTCATCATTTTTCTAATATTCTTACGTTTCTTCTTCTTGTCAGTCTTTTCTGTATCATCTAAAATATTTTATGTTATAATCGCTTAATACTATATTTTAAAATGTATGTGATTAATCGACACACAAAAAGCAATTTTAATTTTTCAGATTAGTAAATTCCAAAGTCATTGATCTGAGATGACATAACGATCAGAAGCAATCATTCCGTCAGAGCGGTAAAGATTTTAAATCACCACAAATTAAATATTTAGCTGCTGAAATTTACATACCATTGGGAGCATCGTTCTCCTCATCCCCACTCATCTCGTCCCCTGCATCATCCTCCCCCTCCTCCCCCTCTTCTCTTTCTAATAACTCCTGTTCTAACAGTTCATCGTCTCCCTCGTCATCTTCTGTCTCCTCTGCTTCCTCCTCCCCTGCCGTCTCCTTCACTCCTTGATCTGATACCTGGTACGTTTAAATATTTCAATAATCTAGATCTCAGAAACATCACAAATTCTTCGGTAAAGCAACGGTGGTCAGAGATAGCATTATAATACTGATAGAATAATTGTGAAGTGCCCATTGCCCATTAAATTCTGTGCGTACCTCACTATTGGTCGCTCGTTCCGGGGCGTCTTTGGTATTAGAGTTTAATGTAAAGGCCTCTTTGCCACCGTTATCCATAATAACCCCTACCTACAATATAATAGTAAAATAACTGATATTGATTGATTTTTGAGTTTTGTTTGTTGGTGATCAAAGCAATGGGTTAAAATGTATTCATTTTAGACAAAGTCAGTCCTGTAATAACTAATTATAATTTAATAACTTAATCGTAATTTTACTAAATCATTCTGACCTATGATACACTCAATTATTTTGTTTAAATAGACACAATACAACTGTAGAGTACAAACGCATCTTGAAAAGCATTTTTAAGTGCTTTTTAATTATGAAATCATTCCGATCTATGCAGCATTTATACAATTAGGAGGTGGATACATAATGGCTCTTCATCGACGCTGTTAGTATTCTAGGCCAAATTTGGGTATATACCTGAGACTAAACCGTAAATTACAAAATATTTCTTAGAAAAATCTTTAGAAAAGAAATGTAATATATATGGACAGAGCAACTCAAGCTAGCTTATAGAGAAGCTTGTGCATGACAACCTCCCAAATATCCCTGACAGTCTCAATGGTTTCCCGCTCATCGTCTGATATCCAGGTCATCATACTCCGTTCCATGTGATAACACACCTCCACAATATCCAGACTGTCTAATCCCAGGTCCTTGACTAGGTCCGCGTCCAGATGCACCTTCTCAGGATCTACCTTGTCGTAGCTTTTCAACACGTAGAAGATCCTTTCCAAGATGGTGTCTGAGGTCCAGCCACCCCCGTTCCGTTTGGAGATAGTGTTGGGGTTGTGGAGTTGAGGAAACTGCTGGGTGGGGTGCAGAGCGAGTTTGCGGAGTGCAATAGTGCAGATTGGGCGGGATGCACGACACACTGTCGGGAGCACGCGCCGCACGAACTGCCTCGCTGCTGCTTGAGACATAGCTACGGCAAACAACAGATTAATGTAACTAAATACATGTATTATATATATAATAAAGTTAGCTTATAGAATGAAATATAAAATTGATAATTAATTAGTGGAAGAAATTGCATTGGTTTCCTAGGACCTACATGACTGATTTTCTTTAAAAAAGCAATAAAATGAGACAAAAAGTATATAATATAAGTAAAACTAATAAATTAGATTCAACAGTAGCAAATTCTTGTTTAAATTGCTCGTCACAGGAAAAATAAACTAAACCCAAAAATAAAATGGCCCAATCTGACAAATATGCAGATCCCTAGAACTAGAGGGGAAAATACAGAAATTATGGACTCTAGCAGCAGTCTGTAAAACTTCATCGAGTTTCAATACTTCTCAAGTGCTTCTTCTTGATCTTCTTTAGCTTCTTCGTATTTGTTATCTGATTGGTAGAAAATAAAATAAGATGATAGTGCCTTCGTATTCTAAAATAATCAATACGGTCAAATACCGGCGGATAAAATAAAAAGCTAAAAAGCCATATATTATAATCAGAATAATATATTTATTAATGTATTTAAGTGAGTATAGAACTACAAAGGAATATAGAATCAAAAAGTAAATAGCACGCATAGTTTTCTTACCTTCTGAACAATTTCCTGTTTCCTTTCATTTTCTGCTCGCCTTGTTCTGTTCTCAGCAATTCTTGCATTCTTTGCCTAAAACAATGCAATGGTAATATTATAAGAAAAGCAAATATCGTTTCCATTCGATGCATTTTGAAATTTCCATAATCATAAGCCCGGTTAGGGATTCGATATTAAAAAGTTTATAGTAAAATATAAGGCTCATAGAATCCCGATAAAACAGGAATTGGACCGTCGAAATTGACAGCAAGGAAGGTTTAAACATTTTGAATATAAACGTTGAAAATTTGTCTAAAGCTTCGACTTGATCATATTGTCGAATTGCAATATTCCCAAGATTGATGTCATGTATCTTAAAACTATCACTTAAGCAGGATACATCATGACTCTAGAAATATACTAAGAGTACAATAACATGCATGGTGTAAGCAATGCTGATGAATCTAACCAGAATCTAGTCAATTATTAGATCATTAAACCGATATTAAGAAATACATCGACATTGAAAAATACAGCGAAATGTTGAAGTACTACAAAATCAAACTTTCTGAGAAATCACGACTATTTAGACTGCAAACCATTTATAATGGCATTATAGGTTACTCTTCGATTAATATAATTGGCGAAGATTAAGATGTAAAACATTCCAAAAGCTTCCAGAACAATCTGGAGTGATAGCCAACAGTTTTAGTGTGTCTATAAAACTTTCTATTGGCCTTGGACCCATGCCAGTCAGCAAAAGATGGCTGACTGTTCATGCTATTTTGAAAAATGCAAGTACACACTACATCACTAGGACCATGATTTTCAATGGGTTTTGGCAAATATTGATAATTCTGGTTAGCTTAATTGATTATACCTACAATTATAGTTAACTTTAAAAACGAAGGAGATTCGCAAAACTTACCTCACTCTCGGCAACTCTGTCTGATTGAATCTTATTAAGAATCGCTTGTACATTCTTCTTCTGGTCTTTTAATTGCATCTTAGTTCCAAAGGTTGAGGTAGACTGCTTGTCCTTTGCCAGAGAAGAAAATCTAAATAATTTACATATTATATTATGCTTTCAGTAACACAAGTGCATTGCTATGAAAATGTGCGAAACATAAACTTCAGTGTTTCATGTTCCACAGTGGGCAGCTGAAGTGCATAATATATAGTACACATGTTTAAAACAATAGCCTGGGTTACTGAGGTTATTACCTGCACTCTTTCTTCTGCTTCCATGCTCGCCCAGAAACTGGCTTGGAACTGTGCTTCACCATACCTTAAACCATACAAATTAAATAATTTGAGATATTTAAAAATGTTGCATAATGATACTTTAGATCAAATCTTAACCAACCAACTGAGAAATTGCTTCTTGAGGATAAAGAATTGGATGTCACAGTACTACCTGCAACTGAATGATTCTAAAACACAACTCATAGTCTTTGGACCTATTATAGTGCTCATTGAGATAGAACTCCATGGGGTTGAGATTAAGATCATTGTTAACAGTCTAGTCGTGGCATGTTTAGATTACTGTAACGGTTTATACTATTGGTGAGAAGCTTTTGCATCAGCTCCAGTTTTTTTAGAATGCTGCTGCAAAAGCTGTCACTGGTAAATATAAACATGACCATCTTGATGATGAACTGATAAAGCTTCACTGGTTAGATGTTAAGAAAAGGATTGTCTTCAAATCTTACTACTATCTCAAAAGGCCCCCGCCCCCAGCCCTGAAAATGCGCCCCCCAGTTGGTGCCCCCTCCCCTTTTGATGCCCCTCCCTTAAGTTGAGCAAATTAGATGATTTTAAGAATACGCCGGTAGAATCTCTAAAAAAGTGTGTTTCTAGAGCAAAACATGCAGTTTTGATAGTACCTCAGTTCAGTTTTTCAAAATTGTCCCACATTCAAACGACGCAGATCCCCCCCCCCCCCCCCCCCCTGCACAGTGGGGTCAGTGGGGGCCCTTTGTTACGCCACTGCCCCTTACACAGCACATTCGGTAATCGCTGATTGTGCCAATGATATTACAGTGTTGGATAATACCTAGGACGGGTGGCAGAAATCCACTGACCTCATCGATCAATATAGCTCTTATGCTTCAAGATCAACACCAGTAAGGCACAATATATGATAGATGGTTGTTAGTAAATGTGCGTCCCATCGACCCTAAACCAAGAGAGACAATGTGGAACTGACAGCAGAGGTTATTAACTTTTCGTATCTGGGTGCTTATAGGTATGGTACCATGGTTTAAGACCTTGGTATCCATCAATTACCTGCCGAAACGGTGGGTTGGGAGTCCCCCCTAGAATCATTTCGTCCATAAAATTTAACACAACATAAAAACTGCAAATTAAAAATTTAGGAGACTGGACACCTTAAAACTCGTCTTCTGAGAAAAAACAAAAGGATACATCATTCAGTTCGAGATGCTGGGCTGTTTGTCTTCCTCTGATTCCCCTAAGGCATCAGTGCATTAAGTGTGCTTCGTATAACTAACCTGAATCGTGTTCTGATGTGATTTTCGATCTGACTCTTAGCTTCTTTTTTGTGGTAGGCTATCATTTCAAAGATACGATCTACGAACACAGTGCAATTCCAGATAGCATATGAACGTTTGAGGGCTTCAAAAGCTGTCTGCTCGAAAATTTCGTTTTTTCACTCATTAGGCCTTAGCAACACCAAAGTAGTTCAACAGAAGGTATGATCCCAGAAGGCTCTACATCCAATCTACACTGTCGATAGCCGAGCTTTCCAAGCAGCCAGGTAGAAGCTTTCTGATCAATGTTGTAGCTGTTCTGTTCTATACTATTGCCAACATAAAGATTACACAGTTCTGCAATTTTGCATGGATGTAATGATTCCATAGCTACTCCTTAGACTATTTGACATTTCTATATTCAGCATTTCTATAAACTGTATTTTCCTGGCAAACTTGATGTATGTATCATGTATGATATATGTAGCATCTGTTTCTAGTGGCAAAGAGACATTTTTTGCATTTATAATTTTAAAGTTTAAACAACATATACATTCAATTAAATCAAGTGTTGCAATAAGGAAAGCACAATACACAGGTAACAGAAATTGTCCATTGCTACCAATGTTATATGAAATATCAACAATGCAATCAAATTTATGCACATATACTCCATCGTAATGCTCTAACTAATTCGCTCGCCCAAAGATTATCACGTGACTTTGGTTTTTATGGTTTTGTAGCTGAACAAAGTTTTACATAAACCCTAATCCTTGATTCACGATTTCAATCCTTTGCAGCTCGGTGAGGCCCAGTGGTACATCTCGCCGATCTACCGAGAAGATGTGCGGCGCGGCCCAGTAGTGCATCGCACTACAACCCTAATCCCAACCCTAACCCTAACCCTAACCATTTATCATAACCACGACGCTATCCATAACCCTAACCACTACCCTAACCACTACCCTAACCCAAGCCCTTGACATGATCGATTCATATGAATCGAACTCGTGTTTATGTTTTACTAGCCTGTCACGTAACCAAAATAGTTTTTGCCCACCACTCTTCACCCCCCCCCCCCCCCCCCCATGACGTATAAATATGTGATATGGTTAAAAATGTTTATTCTATTTATACGTCATGGGGGGGTGATTTATTGCTTTAAAATTAAATACTCACCAGAGCCCTCTCGCTTGCAGTAGCGCGCGACCGCCGAAGGCAGTACGCATAGACACATGGCTATGTGAAGGTGATATGGAATCAGCGTCCAAAAATACAACAATCTAAATTATTTTCATATCCTCAGGGCTTTTTCGCAAGATTTTTAAAAATTTGGGCGAGCGATTTAGTGGGAGCGGGTAAAACAATGCAAAGCCAAACGCTCAAATTCAAAAGTTGCTCTATCCAGAACCCTTGCGCTTGCAGTAGCGCGCGCCCGCCTCACGGCGGTAAAAAGGGCTCTAGCCATGAACCCACCCAACGATTTTGGCACCACTCTACAGTGGTGCCGAAATTTCCCGCGCTTTTGTCCTCATATGCTACGTTTGTAGCCTTTCAGACATTGATTGCATAAACGAGGTGTCGTACGTCACCTCAAGATCAGGTGACAGGAGGCTGACCATACCCGAACCTAATTGATCATTGATTGGGTCTGAGGTCACCTAATTATGAGCTTATGAGGTCACGTGACTATGACGTCACCAGACCTTGTCCTCCGTTTCCCGCTCATTGGACCAGGTGAGCTTGCATGCTTGTGAATGTAGGTGTAAGTACAGCTGTACTGTAGTTTATACCTAATTAACCCTTATACACTGTCACTATGCACGATAGAAACCTGAAAAGTGGTTACTGCATACTGGAGGGAGAAGTGCCAAGACTACCTGTGCTACATAGACGCTGTTGTCAGCACTGCGCACGCGCGCACGAACCTTCCCATCGGGGTTCATGGATAGGTGCTTTTCTTGACTTGCGAAACAAGCGCGCCCGAAGTGGCGCGAAAGCACATGGTTAGGTGAAATTCAAAAGCATTAAATGTTATTAATATTGCAAATATGCTTGACCATTGTTAATGGTCTGGCCCGGCGCTCTAGCCGCTAATTCGTAGCATGGCACTTGCCATCGAAAAAAAAGCGGCGCGCTACTTCGAAGAAATTTAGACGAGTAACATCCGTTAACAAATATGCTTGTAGCGCAATGCACTACTGGGTCGCGCGCGCGCATCCAATAATGCTTCTCGCAACCACAGATTAAAATCGGCGAGATGCGAAGGATTGACATCGTGAATCAACAAATATGCATGATCGGCCGTTTCTATTTTCACACAAGAATTACAAAATACAAAATTACATAATCTTATTTTGTTAACATACTACAAAACATAAATATAATTAATTCATTGAGTTCAAGTTATAAACTGTCAAAGATAAAAACGCGCATTTAATGGTAAAGCTTGCGACTAATAAAGTCATATTTATATTTCGAAACGGATTTTATTCCTTGTTTATCATACTTTTACTGGGCCGCGCTCAGCCTGTCATTCCGCCAAATCTTTATCTATTATGTTAATGAACATAATAGCCTGGGGTCCTCAGGTAATCATACTTTGGATGAAGCAAAAAACATTTGCCCCACGTTGAAGGCCCACCGCGCACAATTGCGCGGCTGTAAGAGTATCGCGCATGGCTTTCGCCCACTAAGTGAAATAAAAATGGGGGTTACGACGTGATTAAAAACATGTCTTTTTATAATTGTACTTGTCCGTATAGTAAAAGCATTTACTATAAAGCGCACACCTTTTAATTTTAGTAACACACTCAGCAGTTCACAGTTACTGAGCGGCGCTCAGCAGCTGTCATTCCGCTGAATCTCTATTCGGTATGTTTATGTTTATGTATATTTTATGAAAAATTGTAGCCTGCATGGGGTCCCTAAGTAAACTTTAGCTGGGTCAGGTTTGCTGGAATGTCATTTAATTAATTTAAACGTTATAAAGATAAAAATAATCCAAACTACATAACAGGACATAGCATTTTTTATTAAATGATCAGTAAGCCATAATCAAAATTTCTAAAATCAGCACTCTCTTCAAGGCCTATCTACAAAAATAACTGATACATGATAGCATGCAATACTTGTCATACGTTGTATGACCCGCCGCGCACCTCGTGCGCGGCTCCCCTGTATCCCCTATATCGTCACTATAGTGAAGCGACAGTGGGGGTCACCACGTGATACAAAGCAATACCTGATCGATGATGAACAGGGTTTTTGTTGCAAGACTGGATATCCTTAGCATCCTCCACACGTTAAACCTTGATACCTGCATCTTTTGGGGCTGTTATGGCAGGAGATGAAGTTACCTGGGGACCTCAGGCAGTGGCGTAACGAAGGGCCCCGCTGACCCCGCTGTGCAGGGGGGCGCCGTCTTAGTGCTTAGGGGGGCGCCAAATCGTCGTTTGAATGTGGGACAATTTCGAAAACTTAACTAAAGTACTAGCAAAACTGCGCGTTTTGCTCTAGATACACACTTTTTTAGAGATTTTTACCGGCGTATCCTTTAAAATCACCTAATTTGTTCAATTTTAGGGAGGGGCACCAAAAGGGGAGGGGCGCCAACAGGGGGGCGCCTTTTCGGCAGGGGGGGGCGCCAACAGGCAACGTTACGCCACTGACCTCAGGCTATCATGTTTAATCTCATAGAGATTCGGCGAATGACAGTCTGAGCGCGGCCCAGTAAGAGATGAAGCAGTCAAGCAGATGATGAAGCAAATGACATGACAGGAGATGGATCAGATGATG